GAAGAATAACACCTTATTAGCAATTTTCAGGCACTTCACATTTGGGAAAATGTGTAAGATCTGGGAAAAACAGTTGGTGTGGACTTACTAAAAAAGCATGACAAAAATATGAACACTATTACTTCTAACCATCTTCTAGTCTTGGTGACAGTAACAAAGGTTAATGATTTCCCCATATGACAATCTTTATTATCATCTGTCCTCAGTGGTTCCTGTGACTAACAGAACTTTCCAGTGAGCATTTGCTGCTTTAACCATTAGGATTATATCAATGTATATATAACTCATCGGCAACACTGACCTGTCTACTCCCATCAGATATATTCACATTTAACACTGAGTAGTGAATACATTTTTTCAAGCCAAAACGTGTATGTCTTTGACAATTTCAGTCAAAGATTCTCCCAAAACAGAAAATAACTCATTTCCTATTAATTACCCAAGGTGCCGCTCCCATTGCTTTTTGTAAAATCCTCAATAATGTGAAACTCTGAAGTGTTGGATGTGGTGGCTATGGCATCCCTGCGATGAGAAGGTACTTGAAAGTTACAGCCTGCAAAGGCCTTTAATGCACGCCTAAGTGCTCATGTTAGGTGCCCAACAAGAAACTCAGCCTCCCTCATCTCCATCTTCTGCACAGTAGTGGAAACCTGATAAATCTCGAAATGTACCTTGGGGTCTCAGTCCTCCCAGTCCTGGTATCGTGCACTCTTCTGTGGCTATGAACAGTGAGGAGCATAAATAAATGCTATGAAAACACACCAAACTGTGACACTCTGTTGTTGACCAGTACCAAGAGTCTCAAAAAGGTACCCCAACATCCCATAGAAATACTCATGAAGAACATTCACTCCCTTTTAGCTACAATGTCTACCTTGCTCAAAGTGTGCCAACTAAACTGAACTACACTTAACGAAGTGTAATCTTAACTAATAAACTACCAAAGACTGAAATACCAGAAAACATTAACAAATGCTGACAACTTCGAAGCCTCCCATCTTAGACAAAAACCTTTCATGTGTCTGTCTATGGGTAAACTCGACATCTAACTGCAAGCACCTAAAATATCCAGCGTAGCGCTCTCAGCTAAGAACACAGATAAGATTTATTGTACGTGATTCAAACACTTCTTTTTTATTACATAAAAGGAAAGTTATGTATTTAAACTACCCATCTGAAGATCAAAAAAAGGGACTGATCAGAAAGCAGTTTCATGAGAAAGACTAAGTGAAAGCCTGCTTGGTTCACTTTCTAAAAACAATTTGCTGCTGCAACTTAATAAAAAATCTTCAGTTAAAAATTAATAATGTAGTGGGTAATTCTGTTCTTTTCAACTGAGATGTACGCAGCTTTCAGGATTAGTAGTTTATCAGAAATTGTTCTCCTCTTCTTTCTAGTGAAATAAGAGAAGCAACATCTATTTTTCTCTGCCCATTTCACATGATCATTTTCAATGGGGGTAGAAAGTTCAATAATACTGTAGAAGATTTTACCACAGGAGAACGAAAACATATGGCAAAAAGTTAGGAACCTCAATCTACTTAGGCATCATCTTCTATTAGCAGGTATACTGTTCTAAAGTGTGTGAAATGTATCAGTCTAACCTGACACTGTTAGCATCTTCCCGAGTATCGGTGGCACAACTTCACAAGCTAACACATAACCCTGCAACAGTGGCTATGAACTAACATGCATTAAAATCAGGATCTAGACAGCTGTTGAGGAAAATGCACAATTCCAATTCAGAAAGAAAAAAAAACAGCTTGTGTATACACTGCAGGTGTTGAAAGTGCTAAGGACAACAATGTGCTAATGTGCACAGTTTTAATAGCATTTGTAAAGGAAGTGAAAATTTTTATCTATTCTTAGTAGTTTCAAGTGGTGCCTAAGACAGAAGTGCTCCCTACACATGAATATTTTAGATGCTTTGAAGAATTTGTTTTTTAAAAAGCAAGAAAAAGGTGTGTGTGGGAAACCATTATCAGCCTCTTTCCAATGTCACTCTCACTCTGAGATAAAGCTTTCTTTGCAAAACACTATTAGAAGTACTAAGTTACTCCACATTACTTGCAGGTCTCTGTCAGTAAAACAAAACATCTTTTTGCCACTTAAGAACAAAGACAACAACTTTTTTCTTCTTTTAGGTTTTTTAGGCAAGTCCATGTCTACGTCTACAGAATATACAGCTTCTTTTTTTCTTTTAAAAAGAAGCCAGATAGGGTGAAGGGAAGGGGATCCTCAACGGCCACTAAATTCCACCCACTCTCCCAACTGAGAATTACCAATACCATTGCTTCCAGAAACCTAACCCAGAAATAAAATCCAGGAGAGGAATGAACAGGAAAGCAGCCATGCAATGATACCTGCTCACTGCCAAGGAATGAAATATGTACCTTCCCATGAGCTGGCTGTCCTCTGTCCAGACCCACAAAAACTTACAAAAAGTGACAGTCTCTTTCATTAATACCACTCTAAGATAACTAGCATTGAATAGATGAGAGGTAAGCAGAGTTAAAAGAAAGGACTGGGTATCTGAACAGACAGTGGGCTGGAGCCTTTAAGATGCCAGGACCTTCAGCTCTAACTCTGTCAAGTCCCATAGTTATTACAGTCACATGGAAAAAATTTAACCAAAACCCGAAGACTTGGTAGAACTGGGGCCATAGTACCTAGCACCTTACAGGACTAACCCCTGTGATATGAAAGTTGCATTGAATATCGAATGACAAAGAAAACCAAACACCCTAAGTCTGCAAAGTTTATTACACCTCAAGGTCCAGTGCATGGCAGCCACTAAGCAGTGGTCATGCAACAGCTTTCCTGGCATGGAGCTTGGGGGAGATCCTGTGCTCTGAAGCAGCAGTGTGGGTCACAGCTAAAAGCAAAGTCCCAGGCTTCATGGGTCACTGTTTTGATCCCTCATGGCAAGTTCCATGCCTGAAGAAATGCTTTTTAAACAGACTGAACAATGATTAATGCTGTCTGTTTCAAAAAAGCAAGGCAGCTTCATATTAATTCCTAGATAGTTTTGGTATCTGGTCTCATGGATTTGCTATGAGTTTGCAACTGAAGATTAAATCTTAAAATCCAAATAAAGCAATTTTTAGCAGATGCTTTAAGGTTCACGTAAAGAGTAATGCAATTTTTTTTTGCTATTAATTTAAATTTTTTTGAATTAATCTTTCACAACAGCATGAACAATGCAAGCATGCCATTGTAAAGCAACCAGAAACACACCTGCAACTTTATTTCTTCATCATGACAGTTTGGAATTTATTCACTTAAATCTTCCATTTAGACATAACAGCAGTAACAAAATACCTGTACACTACTTCTGTTACAAATATAGTCACTATTTAAAGTGACTTAACGTACTCTAATGTAGGCGTTTCTCACTCTAACCAAGGAATAAGTATAGAAGAGCAATTCAATAACAACAGCATCCAGTAATGGTACCATATGTTTTCTTTCATCTTAGCCTATCACAGTGTAACTTCTAGAATAGTTAAAGAGACAAAGAGAGTGGTTTTTTTAAATTAATTCACTTAGACTTAGCTATCAATTTGTTAATACTATTTCACAGACATTTCTAATACTGTTTTTGTGTCCCACTAAAACAAATGCTAGTATTTCGTATCTTCCCCTCATAATGGCTTGACCATTGCCTGCATTTTCAGTTCAGATTTCTCTTAAATGACAACTGATGTGGTGGCCTTCTTGCTACAATTTTTTTTGCTAATTAACCAAAGGGTCTTGCTGCTAATTAGCATGCTAATTAGCTAGGTATCCTTCTCCCTCAAAAGACTTGGTGAAATTTTTCTGCAGGAAGTTAAATCATGGGCAAAGTGTGCTTTATCTGCCAGATTCCTAAGAGCCAGTTTGAAGGAACAGAGGCAAAGGCAGGCTACAATCAGCTAAGGGTTTCAGTGAGTGCCATTTTCAGATAAAGTTTTAGTGAGGATCCCAACTTAGGAAGCTGAGGATGTTGATAAATCTATTAATCACATTGCTGCCCAAATAACAGCTCCACAGTTGCATCGTACTTACTAGACACTTGTATTTGTGGCCCTCAAATCTCCTCTTCTGCTTAATGCTGATGCAGAAAGACCTTCACTGCTGTCTTACTACTCACCTCCACTGGGAGGGATTTGCAGCATTTTACCCACCCTGAACCGGTTTTAGGCCTCCTCAGTCCAAGGAGGACACTACCTTTGCTGCTACTGGTAACAGCAGCAACACCGTAACATCAACTTCTTCCACCACGGCTTAACAAATATCTACAAGTCTCTGTCTGCAGCTAAGTAAACCTGTCCTGAGCAGTTTGTTCGCGGCTCTGAGTCAAGCAGCTCATAGAAACGTCTGCACTGAGCCTGTAGTTAATCTTGCACCTTGGAAGAGGACAACCTTCACTTACACACATTTCATACTGGGAAGATTGCTTTCACACCCACATAGGCTAGAAAACACTACTATTATAAAAGAAAAGTCTGCTTCTTCTAATATTGCAGTTGGTGGGCACTCTCATTCACCAGGAGTAGTTTCCACTAGCAAATGGATTTTTTAGCCCTGAGCACAAGTCCTCTCCTTTCAAAACAAACACACACATACCCCTGCCTCAAAAAAGAAAACCCAAACCCTCAAACCTAAGCAAAACTAAAACACAGTTTTCTTTTTTGTCCATGACTTAGGATATTTAAACACAAAACAGACAGGCAAAAATACCAACTCAAGTCATCCTCCCAGCTCCTTCTACTTGGCATTGTGAAATAATACAAATAACTATCTAAGTCCATTAATCATCTGCCTCCAGATTACATATTTTACCTTCTTTTCCCAAAATTCCCTATTTTGTTAATACTTTCATTCTTCAATAACCTTATTTCTGTTTTCTGACTACTGATGCCCATGCCTATTGTTGACTTGGTGACTTTAGAATTTTTCCAACATATTTCAAGTATCAAAGCCTCTTAGCAAAACATTCCAGTTTTGTTGTGTGGTTATTAACGCAAGCATTCCTGGGTTTTTTTTGGTGGCTTACAAGCATTCGTTATAATACTAGTAGGAAAAATATCCACGTCTTTCCACAGTTGACATAACTCCATCCCAGTGGTTTGACAGTGAGTGAAACACTTCTATTGTACACAAAAAGTATGGTTAAATGTTATCTTTCTTCAGTGTTGTAACAGAGTCCTGTGAAGCTGAAAGAGCAAGAAGGCTATATAAACATTTCCATTCTCTTTGCTATGCGGAATGTAAATAATATAGTGTTATTGACCCTATCCCTTTGGGCAGCCTGTTCACGACAAAACAGTCAAAGTGACTGTTCCTTTTGTCCTTTTCAGAATAGCAACCGCTTCCTCATGGGTCACCCCTTCTAAACTCTGCCCATTCACAGCAATTATTTGATCCCCCCTCTTCAGGCGTCCATCTTCTGCTGCTGCACCCTGAAACGACACAACACGTTACTGCAGACTCATTGCACTTCTTTTTCTCCCTGCCACACTGTCCTTATGGTCTGAAAAAGATGGGTTCAGTGCACAAAACCCCTTAAAACTTTGATTTTCAATGATTCAACTACAGTCAATTGTAGTACAGCTGGCTACTACTGCAGTATGCCCTGCCCTGTCTAAGTTTCACAACATCGAGAAATTGGATCTACAGGATTTTTATATTCCCTTAACACTGTTTGTCCAGCTAGTACAACATCTAAGCTCTACTATCATAGAAGTAAGATTTTCAAGACCTGAAGAAGTTTTCAGCAACTGGTCTAAGAGATTCAGTAATCAAAACCCAGCTCTGTACTTGGATTTACCATAAAAGTTTGGGATTCTTGATTTCAGTTTTTTCTGACTCAGAGCTGTCTCCTAGGACAGTCCAAACTATCAAATCCAGGTCAGTACCTGAACTTCTCCAAAGGTCCAGACTGAGTTCAATTACTTTATCTTGGTCTCCCTTTCAGGCTCTCAGTCAAAATAAATAAAAGAGTCCCTTCTACTACCTGAAGAAAATACACTCTAAACATAAGGCAAGGGGGCTGTTTTTCTAAGTATGTGCACAATTCCAGTTTTGAGAGTTGAAGAAGACACTCTGCCATATGCAGAGTCACATGCATTTGGAAATTCGGAATCTTCCTAAGGCTATAACCTTCAAATGCTGCAAACACATTTTGACCAGCACTTACACTAAGGCAGAAAAGCTGTAAGAAACTGTAACAATCCTTTGGCTTCAAGCTTAGGCCATGATTTAAGATAGTAGCTGCTGTGAACTAACTAATAAATGGATTGACTGAACAAATTTACACTTACCTTTGCAAACACCGTCTTCACATAAATGGGTAAGTCCCCATGGGGACTGCCATAACCGCCCACAATACTAAAGCCTAGGCCATCTGGTCCTCTATCCAGAGTAATGGTCTTGTACTGAGGAGGTCTAAGAAAAGGAAAAAGAGTATTGCGATGTTGTCTGAACTTATGATTTAACATGTAGAATATTCAACAAAAAAAATTTTTCCTTTCAAGCTAAGCAATATATTTCCCTTTCCGCTATAACTATAAATGCTTTTATTATAATGAACCGGCTATTTTAGTTAATGTAAAACACTGTAACTGTCTAATGCCGTCGGTATTACTTAAAGGTAGCTATTTCAAACACCTCTTCCACCCAGCTTAGGGCATAGGTACGGCTGCAACATCCCACTAACAGTGCTTACTAGCGAAGCAGAGATGCAATACCATGCAATACCTCAAATTTCTGTAACAAACACTTACTTTACAAATCCTGTAACGCATTACACCTCCTAAAAAAGGTCTAACATTAGTCCCAATAGTTTATGTTGTAAGGTTTAATTGCTTCTCTCCTCCTCTAACATATGACTGTGTATTTGTATGTATGCATTTATACAGACCATTTATAGGTATATTTCCCCACATACATTTTAAGAAATTTTGAAGTTCTATCTTTCGAAGTAGATTTGTGTGGCTAAAGAACCCCATTCTCTCTTTCCCCATTCCTAGAAGAAAAACGCCTCAGATTTATGTCAGAGTTTGAGGCAAAACTTGTTTACATAGCTGTACCTTGCAGTCTACCAGAAGCAGTATACCTTGTATGCCAGAAAAGTTCGATGCTCCTGATAGCCCAGTGCTAGAAAGCACATTATGGGAACACAGGTACCACTGTGGAAAGGGCCTCGCTATTTAAGTCTGAGAAAAAACATTTTGGGTGTATCAGTTAATCTCAGCTGCCAAGGCTCAGTGAAACAAAGGATGCTGTATTTACAGAGAAGAAATCAAATCACACCGTATCTGTACAGAAGGGCAAAATAAAGCAGCACAGCAAACCACATCGTGAAAAATGCAGAAGAGAACCTATGGCCTACAGGTCTTACGTATACCAAATGCTTATGTCCCGATTAAGTCAAACAGTTCATCCATTACTTCCTAGAATTTAAAGTATTTTAGATTGAGTTCCACCTAAAATAACAGGCTACAGAGGTTGTATATTTTACAGTTACTGACCCTAAATCATCCTGAAAAATGCTGGTTGAAGTTAGTCCCACAAATGAAAGATTGGACGTAGGTGGATCCTGCTGCTGACCAGTTATGACACTTACTTCTCCTCCAGCTACAACCTAGGAACAGAGTTCATAAACCAGTACAATGAGAATGCTGACACTAAAATAATTTATTGTAGCAGCTGGCAAAATAGTATTCAGAAAATATTTCAAATGTCACTGAAGATTTTTTACCTGCAACTCAATAGTGCCTGAAGCATTTTTTAAGAGACTAACAGCTTGGGAGTGAGTCATGCCCTCAGTAGATGTTCCACAGATGCTAACAATCCTGTCCCCAACCTGCAGAAGAATATGTAGAAAATCTAACTAGCAGTAAGTTCAGTTACATAGATGTATTTGTCACTTTCTTTCAGCAATAGCAGATCTGTGTATTTGCATTTAGCCAGATTTTATCAGTGATACAGGGCAGGAAGAGAGAAATTAGCAACTGTTCACAGTACATTTTTTGTCAAAGGCAGATCGTCTTTGAACTACATAATGACCCAATACAAAGGTAGAAAATTCAACATCACAGTTAGGAAACTACACTGGTTTAGTGTATTCAATGTAAAAAAGTAATGATGCTTTACGGAATTGATCCTAATACTCTAGAAATATACAGCATGAGAAAAAAAAAAAAAGGTGCATTTTGCATGTCACCTGAGGATAAACAGACTGAAGTAGTAAATTATCATCAGAGATTGTATGTTTGAATTCATCCTGAAATAACACTGCCCATTTTCCAAGGAGCATGAGTCAAATTCAACCACCTCTGCTACAGATTGGATACAGTACGCATGTAAGTGCTGTCTCAGGTAAGACCTGCCCCTTCAAATTAGAACCTAAAAAGTACTATCTCTATCCTAAGACAGTTAAGCACAGAAAACATGAGAGATAAAACAGACTGCGTACATACAGTTGCACGAATGACCACCACACTCATCAGTGGAGCTCACTTACAGAATCCATCAATCTGAATCACTCTCTCTACTTTTAGTTTTCACAAACTGACTACCTCTGTGATCCAAGATTGCTTTAGGACTTCCTTCCCAAAGTTAGTATCTTCAAGCAATTACCTTTTACCATGATACCAATCTGAGTTACCATTTTGTCAATCCAAACAGCAAAAATTCTTGTCACAGCCAGAAGCACTTATGACTGTACCATTAAACTGCTAATTTATTGCCTGCCTAGAGTAATTACCGTGCATTACCCATGCAATCTTTACAACCTTCTTAACAATTAACTTACTCTGAGTTTCTGAGTCTGAGCTGCAACTCCATTCGGATGCATCATGGCAATAAATATAGGAACATCTCCAAGAGGACTTCCTACGCCTCCAGCAATGCTCACTCCTAGTGAATCTGCAGGGCCCTGTTATTGTCATGAAAAAAGATTAGATTTTTCTGGAAAGAAAAACACATACAGAGAATTGTAGGCTTATCTCAAAATAAAGACCCTATTTATGAAAATCAGAGTTCCTATGTCTCAAGCCTTTTTTTAAGCTAATACACTTTGCATCATTTTGAGAAAGCACAGAGAGCACAATATATGTTTCTTCCTATCAGCAGTAGGTGACAATTTGCTGACTTAGTTGTATGTTTTATCTTAACCAAACTAAATACAGAATTCAGCGTCAGACCCTTAATGTCAGCATAGAAAGTCTAGGCAAGGAAAACTGCACAGATGGGATTGCTTGTCCTTAATATTGTCTGTATCAATCTCCTATTATGAACCTCCCGAAGACTAGAATTAATCTTTATGCTCCCCCTAGTGTCCTATTGTTGAAGAACAAAACTAGCTGTTCACTACTGTGCAACACCCTACTACCTAACTGCAAAAACTGCTATTGTAAACTGGTACTTGCAGATTCTACTGTAAAAAGAGAATGGCTAAATACAATCCAAGTAATTAAGTAAACTAGATGCCAGGCAAAGTCAAAGAAATATAAGTATTTTGGACAATCAGAAGCAGTCTGTGACTCAGATCTCATGCTCCTGTAAATAAGGAAGTCAACTGAATTTCACAGTTGAAAACCTCGCAGCTGTCATGTAAGAGCCTACCCATTAAAAATACGTGTGAAGAAACATATGAAATACAAACCAATAGGCTTCCAACTTTAGTACAGTTCCCCTGACTTCACTAAAACAGAGTCTGCATTTAACGCAGTCTGATAACAGTAAAACTAGGTCCCATTATCTCTTAGTAATCCTTCCTCCTTTTGCTTTCGAAACAGGTCACAAAATGTGATCGCATAAATAGCACTGATTTTACATAAAAATACAGTCAGTGGAGATCATACAGTCTTGACCTGAAAAGATAGGCAAATTAATTAGCTATTGCCACATCAATTTGTCTTTCAAAATAATTAACTGGGTCAGACTTCTTCCTTTCTGTAAACACACCTATTGACAACAAATCTACAAAAACCTGATCCTGATAAATACCACTTCATGCTGTAACTCACCTTTTTTATTAAAACTGTTCGTAGTCCCTGTATTTCAGAAGCTGCTGTCAAATGAATTTAAAAAAAGAAAAGTTAAAGTAGCATTTTTAGGAAACTTTTCCATTAAAGTTATCCAAACCGCTATGATGAGTCTAACTTTCTGCTGGTTTATTACAGACATATGTTTTAAGCAGATTTTGAAAGTAGCTGTCATTAAATTAATATTGAAATACCTCTAGAATGGGTGAAAAAGTAATTCATTCTCTCCATTTAAGTAACTTTTGGAATTAGACTGCTAAATAGAATGCTCAAATAGAACAGAAAAAACTATTATTTGCTAGCAATACTGCGGTCAGAAGTAACCTTGTTCTAAATTTGAGCACGAGACAGCTACTCCACATCTATTATAATTTAACTATACAGTACCTGGATTTCCACGAATGAGAGAGCTTCACTGAAGACATATTTAGATTAAATAGAAAATTATGCTCAACTTAGATTCTCAACATCTAAACTGTTGGTATAACAAGCTGCTAGTTTCTTTTATAAAAAGTTATTCGAAGATATATATGATGTACTGTACAATAACCACCCCTGCAGCATTTTAATGACTACGGAAGTACTTTCAGGCCTACAGCACATAATTACAACTTTTTAGAAAAAGTGAAAGATCTCAGCTACCAGTTCACATGTACAAAATACTGAAAGCACCAAAGAAACCTTACTGATATTCTTCTTCAGACTACTTTCAAAGACCTCAGGTGCACTGGACCCAGAAACCGGCAAACTGAACGATGAGAGACTGCCACTTCCTTCACTGACCTAAATACAGAGTTAGATTGGGATTAGAGATCAGCTTCAGACACCCAGTTGATAGAAGTAAAACTGTAACCCACTGTATTCAGTGGATTTTGCTGTATTTTACTTTTTCTGTGCCTGGTTAAAGTTGACACAGTGAACCTCCATATATTTCTTAGTCACTCTAGAGGGCTCCTTGTTTGAAGCATCATTAAACCAACAGAGGTTGCATGCCTACAAACCCATGCAACGCTGTGAAGCACTGTTTCTGAGGGCCAGACTGTCCTTATATTTGCACCTTCTGTCATCTCACAGAGATCTTCTGGTACAAAAGTTAGCCACGATTATCAAGGCAGGGACAGAATACAAAAGACAGATCTTTATACATCCTCATGTGTACTGATGCTTACCCACTCCATCAGCTAAAACTAAGATTAGGCTCTTCACTCACAGGCTTCACCTGCACAATTTCCAGAAAGATTTTCACTATACCCGCAGGGCAATGTAAAGGAACAACATGGCTCCCAGTGAGACTAGTTTGCTGAATGTTACACTCTTCAAAACATTCAACATTGTGAGCTGCTTCTTAGTTAACTCAGATTAAGACCATCCAGAGCCTGCATGTTTTCATCTTGTTTGGCATTACCCGTTTTGAAGAGAGCCTAACATTTTAGTATTATCCAGTCTTAACCTGCTCACTTTAAACTCTTTAATTATGGTTTGTCTTAAAATTATTTATCTTCAGTACATTATGATCTGCATACCCAGTTTATAACCAGAGAAAGTTCTAAGGTAACTTGTGAACTTTCAGAAATATAGCTCCTACTGGAGAGAATCACGATGTGAGCTGCTACCACAGCATTCAAATGCAGAAACTGATGTGAGTTTGTAACACTCTACCATTAGACCAACAATAAAATAAATAAACTTGAAAGAAGCCTGATGGAAAGGGTGCAGGTTTCCTGCTTCTGATGACCAAGATTATGATAAGAATATGCAAGGAGTGGAGAAATTCACTAAGTTTACTGAAACAATACTCCATTGCATGCCAAGCACTCCTGAAGTAACAAAGAGGTTTGAAGTCCACTCCAGCTTCTGGTATCGATGAGAATCAAAGCTCGCTCTGCTTCCCAGGCGGGAGCCATAAAAATCAGACTAGTCCACATAGCAAAGCCATTTCTGGAAAACATTTTTGGCTGGACCATGTCTTTACAGATACAGTATGCTAAAGTGAACATATAAAAAGGTTACCGAAAAGCTGCGAAGTACGTAAAACCTCCTACTTTTCTTCATCTTGGATCAGGTATGTGGAAAATCATTGTCGTCATAAAACCGATTCTTTTTATTTTCTTTCATTATTTAACCACAATTTATTTCTTCCAAACTAAACAGTTTTACAGTTACACACCTGACTGCTCTGGGACGTTCTCCTCTCGGAGTGGAATGGACCAGTTTTTATTCTTCCAACCTCTAGTCTTACCGTACCTAATGAACACTAAAGAACCAGTCATTTATAACACATCTCTTCTGTATACAACATTAAAGCCTATGACAATATTTAAGTCACTTATTAAATGGCAGAAGAAGAAAAAAATATGGACAGAGGGGAAAATAACAGGCTAACAACCCCACAATGAGCACTGAGCAGACAGAGCTCATGCAGGATCAGAGCCACACAAACCAAGTACACCATGATACTCAATACTGAGCAGGGTACTTTTTGGATTAACCAGTATTACAATACAGATGTGAAAATTACACAAGAAGACTAATTCTGTTACCCTTCACTTAACAGGGAGTAGGTTTGGCTTCTCAACTGTAATGTCAACATATATTTTCAAGATGGCATTTTTCAAGGAATAGTGAAATTGACTATTTGTACAATAGGCACTAAGAACAGTATAACATCTCAAAGTATTAATCATTATTCCTATTGATATGGCCGAGAACATGGGATTTAAACTAGTAGTTTGTCATCTCTCTCCTGCTCTTGAAATTATCTGTTGCTTTGGATCCATACCAACATAACCAACAAAAAGAAATTTTGGGCAGTTTTCCAAATATCTATCTGTAGTTTAAGTGACCTTTCTGCATCTGACTGCCCAACAGGAAGCTGGGTGATATGGACTGTTCGCACATTGGAAAATCCTTCCACTACTCTTTAAGCTTTTAATTACACTATTAAGTATTTACACGTCTGCATAAAATGCATGTCTCAGAAGAAAATTCACCCTGCAATCAAATATTTAGAAAACAAGACATTAGGCTAATTTTGGAAACACATAGATAAGTTATTATCACAAACTATTATCACAAACATTCAGAAAACTGGACTTCCGAAATAACACAAGAAGTGTCAAAAGAAGACCACCTATCTGCAACGTATTCAAATACAGAAATTTCAAAGTTCTGTTGCCATTTTGCCTTTTCTTCTTTCTTCCACTGGGAAGTTGTTAGTATGAACTCCTGTATCCAAAGAACTTAATACTACATAAGTTCCCTTTATTTATCGTGTTTTAGCTATATTACCCTAAGAGAGGTTCATGTATTTGTCAGATTTACAGTAAGAAATAGACCAATATGTAAAAACCAACAACAGGACATACCCATTCAAATAGGGTTTCCATATCTCATATCTTGTTGCTATTCTCTTAGGGGTGACATTAAAAGAGATTTATTACTAAATTGCTTTTTATTTTTTAAATAATGTTGACTTATCTGTGTCCTGGGACAGACTTGATCAGGGCTCAGGCAAAACCATTCTTTCCTGCTTGCATGAATTGACTCATATTAAACCATACGGACAAGTCTTATCCATAATGGAAAATTGAGGAAGTAATCTATGTACCTAAAATTACCACATCCTCACATAAAATGCAAGCCCACAAATGAGATTTAAAAGTTATAATGTGTGAAAGTGGGAGGTAATACTTTCCAACTGAACTTGTGAATAAATCAATTCACATTTAGTTTTATTACAGCTGTCTCTTCCTGAAATCTCCCATTTGATAAATCTGTAGATCGAATGAGGGGAAAAAATTACCAGCTTTTCACATGTTTTAGGGATACTTAAAAAGAAACACTGCAAGAACATGCAGAATTCTCAGCCTGACAATACGTTCCAGTGGTCTCATGCTACTTAAAATACATTGGGATTTTCCAAAGATTATAAATAATTTTCTAGCAAAATACGTTTCAGGCAATTCAAGACAATTCACTCCTAGACCTTACTCTCACCTTACTGACACCTGAACTAAAAATGGTGACTGCCTACTTGTCAGTGATCATGCTTTACTCCATTCATACTGCGTGAACAAAACAGATCATTAACAATAATATGAGATATTTTAAAAGCCTCATTTCTCAGGGCTAGACAATTAATTACAAGTACCACTGAGTGGGATGAAGTATTTAAAACATGAATATATGAATGATAAGTGGGAACTAAGAATCTTCAGCTAGATACTCCAAAATGTTTGCGAAAGTGAAAGAAATTTTCCACATAAAATAGCATTTGCATTTAGAGGATATGTAAAGTGCAGCACATGAAGAAGAAATGCACTATCCTTAGATAAAATAAAGTATCAGGTAAGAATGGAAAAGTACTATTCCCCAGAAGAGCATATTAACGAGTTCACTGCCAGAACACAGACCCAGTTCTGGCATTCTCACTTACGGGCACATGCTGAAAATACAGAAAAAGTATCCCACCTTCCCTTTCTAATGCCTGCCCCGCTCCCAAAAGAAAAAAAAAACAAAGTTCAAGGAACTGTTCAAGACCTGGAAAAATATACCTTTGAATGTGAGTGCAAAGAAGCATGATCGTGTGTCTATGTATCCAAGAGTCAGCTATGAGTAGTGGCTGTATTTCCAGTGGAACAATTTTCCACTGGAAAATGCTGACTCCATGGAATTCTTACCATGCAGCATGAATGTCTCAAAACCCTGGATGTAAAAGAGACAAGCTGGCTGACCAGCTGGAATTCCTGTCAGACCACAAGAAATGTTGTATATCTGACTTCATTCTGATTCGGAAATAGGGGAAAGACATCAGAAGCAAAAAATTTATAGAGAACAGAAATTCTGGTTCCAAGAGCTGCAGATAGAAGTTTACTTCAGTTATCTTTGTGAGAAAGCAAATTCTTATACTAGATGCTTTGGTCATGGGAAAATGCATTATAGTATTAAATGGATGTAAGGTGACACTAGACATACACAGGGAAAAAAAAAAAAGATTAATGTTCTAATCACTTTTTGGCACAACTACTCCGATGAATTCTCCACCATTTAATGTCAGTTCTGCATACCTTTCTAAAAATGTGAGATAGTTAACAAGTTACCAGTTCATTGGAGAAAATACAGCATTAAGTTTTAGGTTGTTCTAGGTAAAGGTCTTCTATTGCCCTATAAACCTAAGGCACCCTGCACCACCACTAGTCCCATTTTCATCAGGCAAAGTATCAAAATCTGAATGCTCTAGACTTCAGGAAGCTTAAATTTGGATCCACAGCTCATTCTCACTGACATCTCAGTAACAGCCTGAACTCAGTTTGAATAAAACTAAAGCTTTCAAAAAGTCTGGATCTCAATTCTTCACTTTTATCCACCTTCTCTTTTCCCAATACCTTTAGCAAAGCTGCAACAGCCTCCTGGTTAGCATTTCGAACATCTTCTCCATTCACTGTCAATATCTGGTCTCCTTGCATCAATCTCCCATCTGTATCTGCTATTCCTCCTTTGACGATGTCTGACACAAACACCCCTGTATCATTTCTGCAAATACACACATGAATTTTGCATTACAGTATTGTTTGAGGGCCATTTTCATGGCTTGCTGTTGGGAACACAATGAACATTGTCTCATTTTTCTGCTGGGCTAGTTCCTCTAGGAATGGCCAATTAGCTTAGGCACAAAAATGACATGTACGGCCTTCAAGCCCACGGGATCTGAGCACTAGACCCTAACAGAAACATGAGCATGCCCAGCAAGTCCCAGACATTGACTCTCCAGGTACATTCACACCTTTTCCCAACAATACTCAGCCCGAGGCCTTTGCCAGGCTTCTTTTGGAGCTCTATATTGAGTACATCATACATGTCTTCCTCCTTGTACTGGGCCTCATCTCTGTACACAGTGAGACGAACTTTTTGGGGAGTCTGTCGGAGGACATTTATCGCTTCATCATGTGTGGCATTCCTAAGGTCAATCCCGTTCACCTGCCATGAAAGCATACAATGATAAACTGTGCAGGACTTTCCAGCAGACAAATAGAAGATGCCTAGCTAGCAAATAACAATAAAAGTGACCAAAGAAACCACCACACCTCTAATATCTGATCCCCAGCCCACAGTCTCCCATCTTTAGATGCTGCTCCTTCTTCATATACTTCATGGATAATGATAGCTCCCTGTGGATAAATAAAACAAAAATAAATTGCATGTTGAAAGAACATGCCCCTACTTTGAACCAAGAGCAACTGAAAATTCATACTATAATTAACCAGTGATAAACAAAACAGTCAGATGTATGATGAACAAATTACCAAATACTTAAGAAGTTCATTTGTACTTTCAATTTTAAAAGTGCTTTTTTCTTTTTTTTTTTTTTCCTTTCCCCCCCTGCCCCGTACTGGTACCTTTGGTATCTTTCTATAAATGCTACAGGAACACATAAAGAAAAAATCTCTTCTATCAGACATTTTAATTTCATTATTGTTATTTCACTTGAGTGACACACATATTTTTCCAACCAACCAGCAAAGTGTCTGCTCCTCCAACAATGCTCAGACCAAGACCAGTCCGCCCTTTGGAGATATCAATGGTTGTTTCACATCCAGGAATGATGGGACAAGTAGCTGGGTCAGAGGCTAACGTGGCTGGAGTTGAAGACCTGCTTGTATCTAAAACAACAATTAAACGTCCTGGTTACAGTTAAAAGGGCTCAGTATTAGAAAAGTGACTTAAAACAGCATTTTCAGAGTTCACTGACAGCTCTACAGCAACAGATGAACAGCTGACCTACAGAGAATGATGCTGCCAACTCTCTCTTTCACTATCCTGTAGTTTTCATCGCAGTTGTCCTGTTTTTACACCATCAAGTACCCGGATCACAGTTTTGAGTTTACTGACAAAATATCACACACATTGTGCTGTATTTGTACTACCAAGTTCACTCTTACAGTCTGGATAGCCAAAGAAGCTATTGTATACAACAGATGCTATTTAGGATAGAATTGAACTTAAACATCTGTACCAGCAACTATGCAATGTAGATCAGAGATAAATGAAGTGCATAGTATGTATTAAATACATGGATTCAAGGATGTCAGCCCTGCACTTTTGCAATGGGTCAAGTCAAGGTTCATCTAACTAAATATTCCATCTCAGACTCAGATCTGTACCATGAGAAACAATGGTAAGTATGAATCAAATACAGTGGTATTTCACAAGTCCAGCAATCCATGGTCAAGTCAAAGGTTTTATACACATCATAATATTTAGTGGCTCTCAAAAAGAACTTTTTTACACCAGTCCAACTTCTAACTGGCCACCGACACAGCTTCTGGAAGCAGTAAGTTTTGCGGTGTAAATATATATTCTCATAGCGTAAACATATATGGCATCCTTACGCAGCAATTTATCTGTAAATTCAGTATCTCTGGTATGTCACAAATGGATTTTGCTTCTGTATTTTAGTCGGTTCTGCTGTGCAGAGAAAACAAGGTGCAGGGCCGGCAAAAAGGTGGGTTTGCTAAAAGAAAGCTGGGGAATAAATTATAATATCAGGTGGAGAACCAAGACGAGGAGTATCTTCCAGCTGGGTCGCGGATGCCTGTAAATCTAGTGAAGCCAAGTTACAATCACAGAACCCCAGGATGCTGGAGGGAGCACTGCTGAAATCTCCATCAGGTCTTTATCCCTAAGACTTGGTGTGGCAGGGTGGAGATGGAAGGGATAGACTTGGACAAAGTCATAGATTTTACCCTAAAACTATATGCAGAAGGGAAGACAACAGACTTATTACCTAGTAGGTCTCCTGTGTTTCTTAACATTTCTTTATAGTAGTATAATTGTATATCAATCCTACTGCTAGTAATAAGCAATAGAAACATGACTCAGTAATACTTGCAGTGATGTACATATAAATTAACTGTGATGTGCGCATTACTCAATTAAGTTATTACCTTCTTAGTAGTGTGTTGCTTAAAAAATAACCATCATCAACCAGTCGCATTTCAACTCTCCACTCTAAAGGGGAAGAGTCAAACGTGGCTAGTCATAAATGGCAAGACAGTCTCAACCACTCCCCTGTTTTAGGAAAGATGACGTGACTTTTCTCCCTCATTTAAAGGAATGCCTTCCACTTAGTTCTAGACAACCATGACAGAGGCATCGGCTGCACAGCATTTGGGAGGGAGGAGGAAATCCCTCCATCCTCCCACCTCTACAACAGGCCAGTGGGAAGGCAAGGGTCTTCAGTGTGGAGCCTCACTGCTTTATTTAGATGGATCTGTAACCCATAAGTACTAGAAAGTGCAACTCAGACAGCTGAGTGCATACAGAAAGAGAAAGCTTGCTTATAAGCTGGGTCTTCATTTTTACGTCACAACCTCAGTGAAAATAGACACACAAGGAGAATCTTACTTTTGACTGCTTCTGGTTCTGGTGAGCTGGAAGAGGGGACAGTTGCTGGCGGCTGCGTACTCCTCCTCTCTGCTGGGGCAGTGCTGGAAGGGACTGGTGCTGCAGTCAGGTTATCCATCTCTGCTGAGTTGATTGTAAGCCTCACCATAGTTTTGGATGTCTTCAGGAGACTAATAAACTGAATGATAAAGAGAAAAGCTGGTGAACAGTGTAACTGGACTGTTCAGTTGTAGAACAAAAACAAAGCAGAAGAACTGTTCTGCAAACTGAAGCTACAAGATACAAACCTGCAGGTTTTCTTGGTAATGAACAAGGACAAATATTGATGTTTTTTACAAGAAACAACAACGGAGTTAACTGTGGGCCAGACCTGGCTGATGTTAATCAAGTAGCTTCCATGAAACTTCGCCAAACTATACCACACAAGAATATGGCAGTCTTTTGATGGCTTCTCTGGACAAAATACTATGTTTATAGCAATTATTACAAAAATCGGAGAACTAGTATTGTCTTTTAATGTTTGGGTGAGCCCAATTCTGATCCCACATAAGTCAATGCCAAAACATCTATTGATTTAGATAAATGTGCTACTGCCATCCTTGCTCCTTAATCAGATGCACAGCTGGAAGGAAAACCTGAAAATATTATCTAAACTATGGGAGGAGAGGAGGACACCAGGGTGTAATGCAAAATCTAGTTTAAGGGGATACTGAAAAACCTTCAAAATTAATTGCCATCTTGCAGAAAAGACACCAAATCCTCCCAAGACTTTCCATTTCAGTAAAATCAGAAGTATTTTCAGAAATTACTTACTCAATCTCTCTGTCTCTTCTTCCAAACCTACCTACTTCCCGGCAGAATCTTCCCTTCACTCTCTTACTCATTTACTGCTTCAGAAATAGCAGCGCATCAAAGAGTAAGATGGATGCTCTCCTAATTGCCCTTTAACAAACAGAAAGTGATCTTCTCATGCCTAAAGAATCACTTTTCTTGGTAGTAAGGCAGGTGCTAGAAAAAAGCCCTCCTTGATTCATTACAGAACGCAAATTGAGTTTGCTGAGCTAGAAGTTAGAAATAAATCTTGCTATTTAGGAATGGAGATAGTTTTCTCCGAAAGGTTGAAATACCAGGCTTGGAATATAATAAGGCCGTTATTACAGACTCCCCATGTATAAGCACAGTTCATGACCTGATTTACCATTGATGCAACTAACGCACATAAATTTACACAAATTAATTTTACCGGTTCTAATACTTTTCAAGTGGAGTAGCTATGAAGAGCCATTATTGAGCGATAGTTGATGGCTTTTATCCCACAACTAAGTGCCTCTCAGTCATCAGATCTGAACCACAGGCAGAAAAAAAAAAATCACATCTGTAGCACAGAGATAAAGATTCACATACTGCATTAATAAAAAATAGCAGCTAAGCTTTAAATTCAGGCTTTAGCTTATTCTGCAGTAGTTTTCTTATCCAGGCAATGCCTGCAGATCTTTGGTTCTTTAGCCAGCTTTGAAAATGAAGTCAGAGTATAGTCACAAAAACCTCACTGGTTTGTTTAAGACACTATCACTTCCTACATTAATTGGTGCAATTTCTGCAACATTCCTGACACTTCAGAAACACCTTTTCTACTGGATATCCCACAACAATTTCATCATCCACTGCCAGGATCTGATCTCCGACTTTGATTCGTCCATCCTGGAAACAACATAGAATAAAAAATATGAGCTCTGAATGCTACTCCAAAAACCATTTTTCATTCCCTATTTGGATTTTAAATGTTTTCACACCTTTGCTGCTGCACCATGATCTGTTAAGCTCTTAATAACTACTCCATTAACTGTGTCTTCTTCACTAATGGCAATTCCCAACCCTCCTTGATCCTGGGGCAAACAGAAAAATGCAAATGGTTAGGTACTGTTTTTATCAAAACGTTAGAACACATTCACTAAGGACTAGTGAAGCCTGAAGACATAACAAAAGTTTGGGTTTTCATAATGCATCATTATTTTTGATTTTAAACTAATCTATTTCTGAAACAGATTTTGCCAACCTACAAACAGTATATTGGCTACCAAGATAAATCTGAAACACTTCTAAATTCAAAACCATTCCTTTGAAACTTACAAGACCAATTGTGATTCAGTTGTTAAACTCATAAATAGGAGTAAGAAACACAAAATATTTGGAAACTACGAACTGAGGTAAATAAAACTTCATGATATAGCTTAAATTCGTTATTTGACATCACAGAAAAAATACACACAGGAGTGGAAAATACAGAGGATGGAAAAATGTATGCTCTTCCTGTGAAACTAATTAATGCTTTCACTTAGAATTAAATCATCCAGGTACCATCACCTGTAAGATATTCTCCTGGTTAATAATGGAAGGCTAGATGCCTTCCAAGGAGAAAAACTTACCAACAGTTCGCAAGTCTCTATGCTTATATCCACTGAATGCATCTGTCTTCTCCACGTCCCTAAGCAGGAGCAGCAATTTTTCCACCCTCCTTTGGCAGCTTCATAGTTACAAAACACCTGGCCATTTTCTCCCAGCTGCACAGTTTCCACTAAATATGCCTGTTGTTTGGGGGATTTGGTGCTTATAATCCGCTAATTCATTTACTTCAAACAACTAAGGCAATGATTTTACCTGAGGCACCACCAGCAGCTGGTTACCAGAAGTTTTGGAAATAGGACAACAGGTGACTTCTCCCAGAGACACAGTGTAATTGGCAAATTTATGTGAACGTAAAGAGACTCATGAGGTTGCCAAAGGTAGTCATTATGTCAGGAAAACTTTGAGGTCCATCCACAAATAGGAAGAGAAGACCTCTAGAAATCTCTATTCTGACTTCCAGTAAGTAAGGGACAAAGTTTGTTTGTCATAAAAGGGACTCCATTACAAAAAAGCAAGCTAATGAATACAAACGTGGCTGCTGTAAACTTAGTTTTCAGCACATACCTTAGGGAGTTCCACATACTGAATGTTTTTACATGAACTGAAGTCAGAACAAGCACTGGAGTTTGCAGCACTGATATCAATCTAATAGAAAATGAAAACATAACTATGAGCAACTATATTTAACATTTTGCATCAAAATAAAGTAGCGCAAAAACATTTAAAGCGGGTCTGATCACTTTCTGGATTCATTTAAACTGCTATAACCCTATTCATGGGAATGTTAGATCTACTTCATAGTTTAGATGAACATAAAGTAAACCAGAACTGAGCACAGCTGTACTAAATTTAGCAGCTTTATTAAAATCTCGTTTGTTTTTCCCTTGGATTTCTTTTTCTTTTGTATTATTTGCTAAGCAGACAGGGCAATCTTCTATCCAGAACAATGTTAGTATCTCAGTCAAATGAGAAAAACAAAAATTTACTTTACCTCTTGATGCTGAAGTGTCCCTGAAGTACCCTGTGAAGCCTCTACTGACTTTGAAGGGCAAACAGCCATCTGATTTACTGCATCCTTATTTCTATAACAGATTCCGTTAAAGAATGTAGTAAGAATGCAGTAATACAGCACCGTATTTCTTAAAACAAGTTTAAGTCTAGCCCTTTCTTTTCCTTTATTTCTGGCATTCACAATGCAAGTATCAAACCAGAAAACTCAAGACATATTTAATGACTACTAAGAACTGGGTTCAAAAGCACATCTATCTCACCAAAATTAAAAATAAAACAGAAACACTCTGTGCAAAACTCGAGCATATTAAAAATAAACCTTTTTAGCCAAATCTTTAACCAGAACTTACCTGATAAAGATTATTTTCACTTTAGATGGTGCACATTTGATTATTGAGGAAGCATTCTGATGAGTCCTTCCGTAGAGTATTTGCCCATTTATCTATACAAAGGAAGGTAGCGATTATTTCTCAAAATATTTAATTCCTTTATACTTAAACTAATTTTTAAGAAAAATCCATTACCCCACATCACGGGCTAAAGCAGAAATTGTATTAAAATAACAGAGTATGTTGTGTCCTGCTTTTACTCCCTTCTTCCAGTAAAAAATTCCTTATAGCTTGACTTCAGACTAACACCGTCACAGTGCTAAAAATGTCATTCTCTGAGTTATACTGGATTGACTTGGCACATCATCTATTTCCTCTTGCCATTGATCACCTCAATAAAGGGCCATGGTAAATTCTAACCATAACAAATAAATGAATCGCTTATATCCAGCAACGAGATTGCTATTATTTATCGAATCTCTGCTCTGAGCCAGGCACTTTATACACAGGAGTCTGAACACTGGTGCATTTACAATCTGAAGATTTGACCTGACAATCATTATCTTCATTTGGCAGAGTAGACTCACTGAAACCCCTTGAAGCTCCTATGATTTCAATATGATTGGAGGTATCAGCGTGAATTTGCAGAATAAGGCCATTATTCGCTCACGTTTTATTAGTTGCATTTGTTCTTGGAAATGGAAAACTGCAGTGCAGAAGTCCACTCTAAGAAAGGCGAAATGATTGGAAAAGGACAGCTTGGACCTACACAAAGGGAAAATAATGCAACGCACACCGAGGTAGTACTAACAGAAGCAGAGAAACAGTGAACAGTGAGCAACAAACACAAGACACTGAACTGAGGGTTGAGCATAACAGCAACCCTTCGGCTCCCATGCAGGCTGTGTCCACCAGGCATTGTCACAGGGATACTGAGCCGGAGGTGACAATCCAGATGCAGCACTGCTTCCAGTGTCTGCCATGGGCTTGTGAAGAACCATGGTCAGGCTATCAGCTGGGCAAGGGGTCATGGCCCGCCACAGCTGATGGACAGCTACTTGGGAAGATAAGGAGGCAAGCTCAGATGTCTCCTCTCAGAAGAGGTTGAGACAATCTCTTAGCATCAGTTTGCAGGTTTACAGCGTGGACAGTAAGCAAGGAATCACATGAGAGCAGACTCAGCCAGATGAGTTTCAGTGTGTTCTGAGGATACTCAGCATCTGCAACATCAAGGTTTTAAAACCAGACATTTTAAGTGATGCAAGAGAACCGCCTAGCAGGTAACATTGCACTTTGCAACTAACAGGTCCCTCCATGAGACTAGGTCCACAGTGCCACAAATTCCTTAGCTTCTCTCGTAGCCTGCAACGGCCAGCCTACATCACTTACTTTCTCAGTGTCTCCCTCAAGCTTTGTTCAGTCTCACCACTCCCTGCCTGTACCATCTCCCCAGTGTATCCTCATACACTCCCACATACAGTTCTAAAGTTACACAAAGCATTTCTGTGAGGTTAATGTTACCTACCGCTATCAGAAAGAACGGGAAAAACTATAGCAGAGAATACATCTGCAAGTATCATCAACTGAACTGTGGTAATATAAAAATATAGCTTGTGCTAATATACATATTGGGAATATTAGCTGCACATTCAGCGGTTGGGTCCCTCCACAAAGCCACTAGAGAACGGCCTGAATGTGCCATGAGATAAAAGTCTGTAATACAAATGTATCTGTTCCCGTTTCCCAAATTTAATTTACATTTTATATGTTACACAACATAAAAATAGTCTCGTATTATCACACTTCCAGTAGACAGAGAAGTGATTAGAAAGTCTGGAGCACTCCACACATGGATGGACTAAAGGACTTCAGTATTTTCCATGGTCTGCAATGCACTGTCCTTCCATACATCTCCATAACCCAGAAACTGCTGTCATCCCCCATTTTTATCCATTTTAAATACACACATACACCTTTACTTAGTACTACTATAACCAGGGAAAAAAATTCCAGGGGCAATCATCTGGCAGGATGAAAATCTCGTAGCATAGTGATGTCAACTTGGGTAACCTGGGGATTTCAAAGTCGACTGAAGAACATCTATATTGCAGCAAGAATCTAATATTTTAGTGCATTTTAAGTCAGCATGTTTGGGTTTCACTATAAATTGCAAAAACTCACCTCTAGTAATTCATCCGCAATCTGTAACCTGCCATCTTTGCCAGCAGCTCCATTTGGATCAATTCCCACTATAAAGACACTCATCCTGGATCGGTCTTTATTACCAGCAAGACTAAGTCCCAGACCTGTCCTTCCTTTTTCCAGCTCAATCATGTGTAGCTCCCCCGGTAGATTTCCATAGCGCTGCATGATCTTTTCTAAATGTAAAAGTGTGGGCAGCAGAGGTTGGATTTACATTAGAAAGTTTCACAAGTGACCTAGAGAGTCAAGATCCATGTCCAGTGGGCAGTATCTAACAGAAGAATCCCAAACTGGATGAGAAAATTTTAAGTGTACACCACACTTTCTTTTAAGCTAAGCCTTAGGTGATTTATATAATATTTCTAATTCCTTGTTTTCCTTCTAACTTTGGAAAACATTAAAACTTCTCTTAAAAAAACACTTTTCACACATAAAAGCAATAATCTTCCCTCCAGTTACACCTTCAGGTAACAGAAGCTTTCACATCAATCACTGCCATCAGTTACCTAGACTACACTGAAACTCTTCAAATAGTCCTACATGTGAAACAGTGAATCTGGACCACGGAGGAAAACAGAGATTGGAGTACAATGAAGAAGAACAAATTAGTTTTATATTTCACCATGTGCATCTGACCAACCACAACTGAAAGCTGATAGCAACACTAAACCACGAAGCACACGAGAACGAAGTAGTTCAAACTGGACCCCCCATATCTTCTGCTACAGTACTATTTCAACACTGAATATTTCAAACATTATCACAAAGGATAAACTTACTCCAGCTGTAACCGAACTCATCCTCCTTCTCCACATCCTCGGGGACTCTGCTAGAAGACGACTGTGCAACATCACAGCTCATTCCTGAAAATGCTGAAGGAGGGGGCAGGGGCAAGTTACAAAGCGAAGTCTTTTCTGCCTCTAAATCGGACTGACCAAATACCTGTGGAGAATAAGAAAAACGCAGTGGCTAAGCAGATGCAGACTCTGTTTAGGGCAAACTAGTATGTCGAAATGGCAGTGACTATGGCTTTGAAGTTTAAATACCAAGCAGCTGGAATTCTAAATGAATAACACGGCACAGAAAGGCTGCAAGAGATCAAAGATAGAAACAAACACCAGGCAAAGTAAGACATAACATCACTCCAAAATGTATTCGGAAGCAAACAGAACTCACAATAAAGGCCCAATTCAGCAAAGTTTTATGTGCCACTTTACATTTCAGAAAAAGTCTCTTACAAAGACTCAAGTGATTTTTTTTTTAATGCCATATTTGTAAAAGACTTCTACTTCTTTTTTTTTTTAAAAGCCACTGCATATAATTTCTTCCTATGATATGCTTTGGAAGCCAAATAGGAGGAAAGGGAAAGGAAACAAAGAACTTGGTGCTTTCAAAAATGCCTCCAGAAAAAAAAAGGTAACTGGCGTATTAACTGAAAGGATGATTTAAAAACAAAATTAAACAGACAGTAACAGAAGAAATCCACAGTAACTGGACTTTTTCAGTGTTATTTACTGGTTTCCTATAAGCTGCACAGGGGAGATCAAATAAAGGAGGATACAGATTAAACCACAAAGGAGAAAAATACTTTTTGGTCTTGATGTATGTGGTCTTTTCATATTCACAAAAAGTTAAAAGTAAACACATGACTACTGCAATATAAAGGTTAAACGCTCAAATCCAAAATCTGGCAAGCCTCCAGTCAAGTGAGTTTCCCTGAGGAATATGTACTCTCATCAGGGATTTGGGTAAGTGTTTGTAATTTGTATCGTTTTGGCTTGCTCAGAGTAAACATGTAGGCAAGAAACTGGTGTCTCAGTATCATCATTCTGAAGCTTATGCATGCCCAACAGACTTTGCTACTCGGCAGATCAGCTGTTGATGTAAACAACAAAAACTTCAGATGAAAACCAAGTATTTTTCCAATACTAGGATTTTCAGATGTTGCCCTAGCTTCATAGCCCTGTTCACATCATTTTAGCTTTCATTACCTCCATTCACAAAAGTTTGAACACAGTATCTCAGATGGTGTCTCTGGGTGCCAAAAACAGAGACAATTTCTTCATTAGAGGCAACAGTGAAACGGGTAACAACATACACCTTGGAAGACTTAAATCCACTTTAAATTGAAGGTGTTGAAAAAACTAGGAAGTTACCCATTTAGTCATACTAAGAGATTTAAGGAAGGTCCCATCTCTCAGGGAAAATGAGTTACCTTCATTCTCTATATACTCCAAACATTTAAAGAAAATGCAAATGCCCTATTTCAGTTCCCTCACTCTGCTTCTGCCTGAAAAAGATTTTCCTTTCATTCAGGAACTTGTTATAGGAGCTTAACTAAGAAGTCATTTAATGTCAAAGTGTGGGAAATTTTAATATGGCACCCAAGCCAATCATTTATATAAAAAATGCCATATAAAAGCCGTATGATTTTTTGTATCATTATATCAGTCACATCGATCTGTGATTCAAATTTAAGACAACACCATCCTGCTGAGATGATACCATGCATCACTAAACTTCATATAGGAATTATTTACAGTTTATGCAAATTATACTCTAAAACATACTTACAGACATAAACCTCAACTGAAGCACCAAAATTCTAGCAAAGACATTGTTACCCATCAGAATCAGAGTAGGGTGGAAATACTACTTAGTAACATTCAAAGTGATTTTTCATAATCAAAAATTCATGAGTCCACCATGGAGAAAAGCTGGTGACAGACCTCTACCTCAAGGAGGGTGAAGGGGAGAGTAAATAGAAACACTAATTTTTCAGAGTGCTTCCTGGAGTTTTAACTAGAAAGCTACATAACATACTGAAAAAATGAGGAAACACAGTGTGAGAGCAGACCAGATCAGCAGACCTTACAGCAGCCTCTGTGTTTTAAAACCAAAATTAACATATCACTTTAGTGGTACTCTTGGTAAATGACAGTGTCCGAGATCTTTGCAAAACTAAAGAAAACATCACCAAAAAAAAGAACAAAAAATTGCCGTCAAGGACCTCTGGAATATCTATAAAGCGTGAATGTATGGCTATATCCTGATTAGCACTTATGAACTGCAGCCACCATAATCTGATTGACAAAAAGCATGCTTCTTTCTGTACCTCTGTGCACGCGTACATAAATCTGAACATGTCTGATGTTTAAGGAAACGCTGAAACGAAAGTAAAAAGCAAGGCTCCTTTGTGAGAAGAGTAAAAAGGGTGTAACAATGCCATGTGGGCAGAGAGGATCATGTCCTGCCTCCAGAACTCAGCCTGCCACGCATGCACCGCCAGCAGCAGAAGCTGGCCCCCGCAGTTTACACACACATAAGACTTTTGCTCCCTGAATCAGGCCACACACAAAAAACCTAAAATGCTTTAACTCATGAAATACTTTCAGTGTGCCACAGCACAGTATTTCATTTAAAATGCAAAGCATCAGACAGTGCATGAACCCATTTTGCTACCAGGGTCACTCCGATCACAGCCAAGCAAACATTAATAACGGCAGCAAGTTTGGAGCAGTATCACTTTCAACAAAGGAGGCACACACGGAGGAAGAAGCAGTACTCTGGGGGGTATCACAGGCCATGTACAAATGTACAGCACACATACGGTAGGACCCACTCACTGGAATCAAGACAAACCTTGAATGGTGTGGGAGCAAAAGGGTTAGTTGGGGAACAACGGAAGGTAACCCTAATTGGATTCGATACCTCCTACAGTAACAGAAAACAGCAATCCACATGTTACAGCACCTTTGGCAATACATAGCATTATTAATGAATAACTCACTTTCAATTACAGATTCATTTTACTAACCACAGCAACTTTATTAACTCCATTTATAAATGGACAAAAGTATTTATGGGGTTATTAAGGACCCTGATTCAGCAAAATTTCTTACCGTACATGAACCTTAGTTCAGCAGAAGCGGACAGAGGTGACAAGAGGCCATTCTTATCTCTATGTTAAAAAAGGAATTATGCAGAAACTGCAAAAACATTAGGTTTTCTCTAAAAAGATGTAATTTTTTTTCAGAAATACTTTTGAAAATGTAGAAAATAAAAGCCATCATTTCTGTTACGCTTCTACTCCCTTTCCTCAGAACTGTAACAAACACAAAGACAGATTTCAAAAACACACATGCAATTATACACCACATATCATATCATAAATGTTCGTTGTACAATCGATATATTTGACAACATGGGAAAATAAACAACAGGCACAATCACTCCCAAGATGTATAACCAGCTTGAAATTATTTTATTAAATCAGAAATGCATGCACGTAAGAATTAAGCCTTTATTTATTATTGTGTTAGAGGTTAATTCTGTTCCCAATGTGAATAACATGCAGTAAGCACTAACCACAAAAAACAGAATCTAATTTTTTTCATATTTCCAAAGATGTCAGCATCCTGTTCATGGTGCATTAAAAAAATTTTCAAGAAGCAGAGGGAAAATATTTTCAGCATCATAAAATATAAGCTGCCAATGTTTTTCTTCATGCAAAAAGAAAAGAGAGGTATCAAAGCTGCAAAGTCCTAACCACACAAAAAGAAAATGAAGTACATAGCAGCAAAACACCTCACACTGATGAGAGAGTTACATTCAGGTGGATATTTTAACATATACCACAGGGACTGATTTTGTAATTGAGAACCTACTCCTTTGGTAGCTCTGATTAGATCAGATTTGGTGGTTATGATTAATGGAGCTGGCATTTTTTAACTTCTTCAAAACTTTCCTACGTGCATGCATGTCTGTCTTTTAATTCACTACACAGAATTTCCACTCTCATCAGCACAGTATTTTACCCAAATTGGTATGAAAGAATTCAAATGCAGAGAGACACTAATGGCGAAGAAGCACACATATAATGTTTGGTGAGTCAAAAGCACGCAGTGTGTCATCATCCAACCTTGTTAGTGCTGAACTGAGAAGAATCAGCGAACGGGTTAGTGCTGCTGAAGACAGCTGGCCTACAGAAAAGACTGTTCTGCGGGAAAGGCAGGGAAGGGTTCTAAAAAGAAAACATTATAGAAACTAAGCAAAAACACTTTTAAATGAACCCTTTGTGACTCATGAAACAAAACATATTTATTTAGCAGTTTGTGCTAACCAAACAAGGCCCGCTTCCTGCACTTTGCTACAGACATGTGAAGGTAAGCAAAACTGTATTTTCCCTGTGTTTCTATCAGCTAAGTTTAGCAGAGCGTAGAGGAAAAGCATCGATCCTCATACCTGTTCTAGCCCACAAAGTGCATAAAGTGCACAATTCAGCAGCATGAACAACAGAAAACTTACTTGCTGTGCTATTTGTACAATTTCGTTCAAGCATCTCAGCATATGGGATACTCTTACACATAAGTTAATTATAAAATTGTGGACTTCTGGGTTAGAATAAACACAATTCTTTGTAATAATGCAGTAGGTTTAGTTTTATTTTGAAAACCACAGACTAATTCTCATAATTTGATTTACCTCTTGTGGTAACACACTCGCTGTGCATTTCACAAAAGAGAAGGTTTAGTAATATTAGGCATCTCTAAACAGACTTCCTATCTAATAATAACTTTTACAGATCACTTTGTGTGTGCATGCATCTATAATTTTCTGAATTTATAGTTCAATTAAACTAAATTGTCTGGTCTTCTCCTTAAACAATACAAGGTACTTCTTTATCATTATTTAACACAAAAAGAGTTTTCACATTTAGACAAAATTAAAGGATTTAATTTCACCGTTTTCTATTCCTTATGCAGTTTTTGTACTGTACTCTATTTTGAGATCAGAAGCTGTTTAATAAAGAGGGGACACCTCTTACTTCACACAGTATGTTGGAAATACTGTTCAATGTATACTTAAAAGTAATTTCTACACTAGGTGTATCCATCTGGCAACTGCCTAAATATCTTAGGGCTGTAAGTTTAACACTGCTGGAAAATAAGAAGCATAATAAGTGGAAAGGAATGTGAAAGGTTTGCAGCATCAACTGATGATTTATATCACAGTAATTTAAACCAGATATATGTTGCTGTTTAAAAATTTTCTTAAAGCATTTTGTTTTTTTAAATGCTCCTGAAAATAGAAAATACATCCCTACACATTTATTCTCAAATATCATTTTGCAAAACAAAAAGTAATGTAATTTGGTAAGACAACATATGTCTTGGTTCTACAGTATCTTCAGCAATGAGAAAAGAGCTGTGCATGAACAAGGTGTCTTCACTGGCAACTCGCTCAAAGTCAACAGGCAGTTTCCCTGCAGTACAACAAGACTTTCTGTTTACACATGTGATGCACATTTGATTTTGTCTTTTATAAAGAGAAGTTTGGGAAAAGTAATTTGCCAGTGTAATGATCCTATTACACTTAACCATTACATTTGTCATCTGCATAAAATTCTATCTTGATTAAATTTTACGCAACTTAAATAAGTATCACAAACATTTTGTATATAAACAGTGAAATTCTAGTAAAACAGAAAACAAAAGATCAGTCACAGTAATTCAAAATCTTGCCTTTGTATTTTGTCATGATGGCATAGCACCCAAAATACTACTGCTAGCTCAAATTCTAATCCATGCATTGTATTAACATGGACTGACTACCATGATAAAATATGGAGCATTTGAGTTTGCCTAAACAGTTAGGTTTTAAACAGTGTGTATGAAGCCTGCTTTTTTGCACAGTCTAGGACAAGAAAAGCAAATGCTAAAACAAAATCCTTTTACTGTTCTTTTGCAAAATAAAACCTAAAATAACAGGATTTATTTTACCACCTTTTTTTTTTTCTTTTTTTCAACTAACTTGTGTTCAGCATTTTATTAATGTGTCCAGGATGCTAAGTATCAGAAACTAGCTAGCATTTCATATAGCATAATGCTGTAACCCCACAAATTATCTGGGATCATAACCATGGTGATAGATTAATTCTTACTCAGAAATACCCAGAGCAGTTATCAGTACGAAATACAGATTTGAGGGGTAACTGCTTGCTAGCAAAACTATCAACTAGGTTTTCACAGCGCATTTGCATTATTTGGGCTATTCTAGATTACCCTTAGGATCTCTAACTACTACAACAGCCTGAATGAAGAAAACAAAGGGGAAGAAACTTACTCATTAGCAACATGTCACTTGAAACTGCCTTGCTAAATACATAGTGGTACCATATTAAATATAGCTACTGTGTGCAGGCAGCTAACTATCTGGGTGACTGCACATGAATGAAGGCAGGAAATTCCCTTATAAGATCTTATTATAAAGTACAGATGCAAGTTTCAAAAGATGAAGACAATAAATACAATGCCATTTACAAAGATCACAACACAAAGCATGTGTAAGTAAGAGCATTTGCAATGTTTCTGCTTACAGAGAAACAAGGGTTTGTTAATAAACAGTCAAGAAATAACCAACCAAGCTTAATAATTGGAAAATAAAGAGAACAAAGAGCTACAATTAAAAATAGCAAAGGAGCACACTCTAAATAAAAGTAAGTTGTGATAAATCAATGGCATCATTCCTATCCCAAACCGGCCTAAATATTCAGCAGTGGCAATTTCACATCACAGCAAATGCAAAAGCCTTACTTTAGTAGCTTGAGTATTAATAACCAACATTCAATAGGGCTTTTCATGCAACTTTACCTTAGATGACTGACGATAAAATGGGTTAGTAGTTTTCTGCCCACAGGGAGCAGAAGCTGAAGAAGGGCTATAAAGAGACTCTGGCTGGGGAACAAGAGTTATGAGACAACTAGTAAATAAACATGCAGCTTACACAGACTCTACAATGAGGAAGTTTAGTTTCTAGTGATGCAAGCAACTTATATTAAAGCTCAGTAGCTTTTGTCTGCAATGTCCATGCAGCTTAGTGACGGAAAACTTCCATGTACTTCTAAGTCTTTTCATTAATGTCCAATGAATTTTTTAACAAGTGCTGTATTTCTGCATGCGCTTCTCAGACATGCTGTCAATCTCTAAAAGTTGGTTTTAGTTAAGACTCCTACTCTGCCCCCCAACAAATTATCTTTCTTGAGGCTTTTCAAAATAGTTTGAGGACGGCGTGCTGGAGGGTAATTCCAAATCCAAATCGATTTCATTCTAAATGGAAATAATACTTAAATCAAATCTTTGTTCCTAAAATAGCTGAGATGGAACTTTCAGGATTAAATATCCCATTCCCAAACACCACCATCTTGAACATTTGTTTCATCTATTACTATCATGTATTACATCTCTTTTCATATTCTTTATGCTTACCCTTCGTCTGCTTATAATGCTCTGAACCATAAAGACTACAGGATTGCCTGCCTTCCGTATGGCTTCCACAGCTTGTTCGTGGCTGGCATCTCTGAGGTCAATCCCATCCACCTGTAATTGGAAGGCCTCATCTTAACATTGCAAGAAACTACACGAATCATGAGTCAGCTTTGTGTTTTGGTTAGGGAACTTTGACTAAAACCTAAGCCCAAACCTCCATTACTGGTGGAAAGGTTTCTACTATCTTGGCCTGAGGTCCCTCAAACACAGGTCTGAGATTTCCAAGAGCACTGAAAGAACATCAAATAAATATTCTCCATGGTTTTATTTTTTCAACATTCTTGGTTCAGGCTCCATGCGTTTTCCCACAGGCAACGTAACAGAAGAGATATGATAATAAGAAGAGATAAGATAATCTGAAGAGAGTGGTAGCGTTTGCCAAATACTGCTTCCTGTAAATCCTGTCTCGGAATAACCTACCTCCCAGGACTTTATGAGATTTACAAACTGAAACTTGTTAGATGCTGGAGGGCCTTTCATTATGGGGTATTATGTCAGTACAGCATACTTTTTTTCTCTTTTAATTTTTTTTTTTTAGGAGCAAGATAAGGCTAATTTTAGCTACTAGACACTTTCCGCAGAAGTTAAATTTTTAGGTCAGAGCTGAAAAGCTTTCTCTCTTCTTGAAGAAAGCATTTACAGAGGATAGCTAAGGACAAATTTTTGCCTGGTTGCTTTTTTTCATGCCTTCCTATGTATTGGTGTGTAAAACAGTTTGCCTTGCGATCCAGGTAAGAACCATGTTATGTTGAGGTTAGCATCAGTAAAGCATTCTCACAATGACCACAATAAAAGCTAGAAGCTAACACAGAAAGGTTATTTGTTAGTGGCAATTCTTGCACACAAAGTTATATAACGAGGATTACCCCTACCTTTTTAATTGTCTCACTCTATTTTAAACTTAACCATCTAATGTAAATAAAGAAAGAATGAAAACAATCTGAGAGAGTAAATTCTAAACCTATGAGGAACTGAACAATAACACTAAGGCTCTCTGACTCCCCATGTCTGAAATACTGGATGCACAAGTAGAGAGAAAAGCCTAGATAGGCCACAACTTGAGAAACTGAAATAACCCATTCAGAAACACTCAAATTAACACAACATTAGTTACTTAATTTCACTCACCCACTTCAACTTCTGCAAGCATCATTGTCAGAGACAATCGCTGCATTCATAAAAATCCAGGTATTCAGATATAATGAGTGTTTTTTAACTTTGTGGCCATCAAGCAAAATTCTACCTCCCAATTTGTTATACACTGGAAACTCTTCCATCCTGCTGTAGAAAGTGCTACCTGTATTAAGGTATTAATTCAAGATCCTTTATATGGATCTTGTAGCAGATGGTAAACTGCAATTTAAGTATCACCATGTAAAGCAAGCCCACTTTGAACCAGGGGAAGCATCACCATTGCCATCACCCTGCTTATTATGTTCTTACCGATGGACAGTCAGCTAAGCACATCAAGCAGGGTGAAGAGGAGTGCAGTTCCTAATGGCCTGACACTGGAGACAGGGTAATGCCTGACTTACTGATAATCATCACAGGAAAGACACATTCCTTTCAGTATGTTCATTCTTCAGTATCTTTAAGCAAGAAATCAGAACTGGCTGCATGAGCACAAGATTAGCTAAGCAGAAGAGAAATCTAAATAAATTCCTCCCTGGAACACCACTGGCTACCCTATCCTCAGGCATGGGCACAATGCTCTTAACTTTCTCTGCATCAAATCCAGCTTTATTCATGTCAGCAGGAACCTACATAAGATGCACAAGAATGATGCAATCTGATTAAGATTTAAGAGGGAAATAAGCTTGGCGTTTATTTGCATGATTTGCTACTCACTGGCCATTTCTGTTGCTATCCAATATGCAAAGGTAACACCTTTTAGCTTCACCAAATTTAAGCTTTTTCCCACACATGCTGGCTTTAAAACAGACAGGTAGAACTGCTGGCTTTGTAGACCCCTGCTCACACAGTCAGTCACCTATGCTTTAAGGTTGTATATTCAACTTAAAGTTGTCTGCACACAAACATCAGCAGATGGTACCACACTCTGTATGGCTCAAGTGGTGCCAGCTGGAGCAATTACACAGCTGCTGGACCAGGACCACGTATCTATCTCAGTGGCTCCTGAGATGCTGGGGGTATTGCAAGCAACAGGCACTCGGCTGGTACCTCCACGATCCGATCTCCCCTTTTCAGCGTTCCATTTTTGCCGGCTGGGCTGTCTTCCAGGATGTGCTTGATAAAGATCCCTCTCATCACTTCTCCACTACTCAGGCGGCTCCCCATTCCTCGTCCTCCAACAATGCTGATCCCCAGTGACTTGCTAGGCTCTCTCCAGAGTTCAACCCTGTTGTGACAAAACAAGGACCAAAATAAATGAAAATCTGTTGTGATTATGACAATGCTGCACACTGAAGACACCTGGATTTGCACAATGGTTTAAAAACTTTCAGAAATAACTTCTTCTTGGAAAGTTTTGTCTTTCAGTGGGAGTTATCTACTGAATTGTTTGAAAAGTCTGTAATTGTGCCTGCTGTTGTGCACTTTATTTTGGATTCTAATCAAAACTTTCAATCCTTCTCTTCATCTCTTCTTACTGGCTCCCAGAGAGTCGGCCTATAAAGATAAATTACTAAAGCAATCAAGAAATTGCTAGATTGCAGGGATTTAGCCCAAACGCAGTAAAAATCAACAGTGAATTACTCTTGCAATGCACAATATGCATAAGTGCAGCAATTCTGTTGTTTTCTTATTCCTCTTAAAATATATTACAGGTTTCAATTTTTTTGAATTTCAAATGAGATTTTATACTGTGCAACTAGATCTGCACTTACTTTCTGGGCTGGTTCCAATTACTGAAAGCTGCATTTTGAAGTTCACTTTCTTCTCCCTCCCCCTCTTCACGTTCTGGAAGCTCTGGGAGTTCCCTGCTGATGAATAGGAACATGCAATTAATTTTTAAAGAACCCACATTCACTGCAAAATTTCACGTATTGGATCACACTGCCAGCATTAGAATTTGTACACAGGATTTGTGTAAGGAACTTCTTTTTCAGATGTCTGTTATAATACATATTGTGTTTGGGGATTTCCTGTCCCACTTGTCTCCACAATTAAGTTTCTATCAACTGACAACCACAGAATAAAAGACTCTGCATTTTGGAACTAGAACCGAATCAAAGCTGAAGGTAATTACTTATTGTTTCCAAAATGGAGGAAATTACAACAGCGGCATTCAAAAATAGTTACTACGTTTGGAGATTAATTTCAAGAAAACAAAAATTATTAGTCACTTTGAATATTTTGGCCTATAACTGTAATGAATTTTTGAAACTCACGGAAAAGGACAACATAACTCATTCTTTCCAGCATACATTCTGGAAACACCATCAATGCCAAATTCTCATGTTGGAAGCACTGAGTATTTGTGGCAATACATAAATCAAATTACATGGTATTTAAGAGAAGTTTAGGATGAGGCAGTATTCAATCTGCTTTTTGGGTAGATCAAACACCTATAAAACAGCCTTGTAAAAATGTCAGAAAAAACTGCTAGCCAAAGCAAAAATTGTATTCTGAACAGCTTTTTATTGTAATGGCTGTTGGTCTGAAGAAAATCTTTCAGCTCTTCTAAAATAAAACTTATCTTCCTGAACTGTGCAAAGTGTATGGCAAGAGTTACATCCAAGAGCCCCATGGGAGAAAACATTAAGTCTTTTGACTCACCTGACAGTATGTGAAGGAAAAAGTTCAAGTGGCACAGCTCCCTCTGTCTGTTGTCCCAAACTGGCCCTGTACTCGTCTAAATTTTCTGCTGGCACATAGGTAATACTGCAATAAAATCGGACATGATTAAAGTAGCATGAGGACTGCTGGTCCTACCTTTGGTAGGTGTGAGGAATGGATATGAGAAGCCACTCAAGACTACTTCATACAGTTATTGACTTCAAAGCCACAACGCTGGTATGCTGGGAAGGAGGAGTTATATGAATCCTTTGTGACTTTGCAATAAATATGCATTTTATGGTCAAATTAGGTAGCTGAACAGCACAGTTTTCTGATGGCTAACCACTCCATTTTCAGTAAATGGTGCTTGAACAGGAACAAGAGTATAACAGAGACAATCCAGCTTCAGTCAAAACAGATGCCTCGTGCAAAGACAAACACTGAAGGATCTGTGAGGTATGAAGCACCATTACCATCCTAAATACTGGCTGCAAATGCTTCTGGAAGTTGGCCTGCAGGAGGTTTTGTGTTTTCCTGGGCAGTTTTGCATCTATTTTTGGTTTCTATGCTTTTGGTGAAAATACTGTATGGGTGTGGACATATGAACATGTTACAGCACACCACCTATGCTGCAGGGAGTAATCCCCTGCTCAACTCCTTCCTCCACCCCTTCAGGCACTTCCAGCCAGCTTGGGACAGTCAGACAGTCATATTTCACCAGCCAAATGACATGCAGACTCCTGAAGGCCTGGTGTAACCCGATCACGTTTGAATGCCAGAAACAGAAAGGGCCCAATAGACTGGGGAGGGCGAAACAAAGAGAAGGAAAAAAGACTAAGGCATGAAGAGTATTTCTTAAAAAACTTCCCTCTACAGGCAAGAGAACACCATGATCTGAATAGGGCTACTTAGATCTAAAAAGGCCCTCCTTTAACGATGCTGTAAAAATGTTTAGTTGTTCGATAAGCAGCTTAGCTATCAGATCCAAGTCTGCCAAGAAGTAAGGGTGATGGAAAAAGAACACAAAAAAAATGGCTGTCCTCCCATCCATCGCATGGTTAAAAGAAATATGAACATATTTCCCCACAGAACAAATAAGGCAAAAAAAGCCCCCGCTTCACAAGGACGTGTAAGCTGCTGAGGAGAGACTCCTTCAGCTCCGCGTCTCTCACTTACTTGGAGCCCTCTCCTGCCTGTCACTTGCTGATTGGAGTCCTCTTCTGTCTGTCACTCCCTGACTGCCACTGACTCCCCCTCTCACTGGTTTTCTGCTGAATACAGCAAGCAGCAGAAGGCAAACAAACTTTTATATGACTAATGCGGTCTGTCCAAAACGCTCTACCCAAATTATCATAAGGAGCATCTTTATTTGTCGTCTTTGTCTGTGCCCAAACATGTTCCCTACCTCCTCTCACATCTACCATATCTAGAGAAGTGCAGAAGATGGTCATTAAGGAGGTGCCTAGGGTGCTGAACAGGAGGAACTCTCCAGTTCTTTGAACGAAAATTTCTAAATCATCCATTATCACCAGCTTTTTTTCTCTTCCTTAAATCTCCTCCCTCTTCTGCTTTGGCCTTTTTTCAAGCCCACAGGTGTTATGTGCTTGACACAAAGTGTTTTCATTCTGAACTGCTGGGGAGTTAACATACACTAGGGAACAAACACTCAGCAGAAGCTCACTGACTCCGATCTGTCTTTCCTGAGGGCATTCCAGCACTGGGAAACACACAAGACACGCAGCAGTTATTCTGCAAAGCCCTAGCAGTGAAACGGAGAGAAGCAAGAGGGAAAAGATGTTTTGAAAACAATCACTACTACTTCTGAGCCATCTCCAACTCCAAATGTGTTGAAGTATAGCAAAGTACTCACATTATGGTGACAAAACTCTCACAGGTCAAATGCTGCTGCAGAAGCACCACCCAGTAAGCCCGTCAGAATACCCTGCCTCTACAAAAGCTACAAGATGTGCAAGCTGCACTTCAATGAAAGAAAATCATTCATCCAGTTACATTGATCAGTTTCATCCCAATCAAATTAATCAATTTTCACCCTATAAAAATAAGTAGGAAATAATGTATTTTTCCTTGAAAGACAGCTGCAGTGAAGAAACCAGAATTGCAAGCAACATTTCTGCTGGCTAGAAGGCTTGGACAATGTCCTTTATGCTAAACTGCAGCTGGAAGTTATTGTTCAAAGTATGGAAAGGAGAATGGCAGGCTTCTAAAAAGGAAACAGATATGCTCAGATTCAGCCTGATGTAGGCAGTAGAGTGTGATCATTGATAGTAGAGTGTCCAACATCCTTCGACTCTTGTCCAGTCCTTTTGTGCAAAGAGCACATGGCAAACAATTACGGAGGGTCCCAAGGTCCAAGGGACCCAAGCAGTCCTTACCTCATACTTCTGTGCAACATCAGTGTTACAGATCAGCTAAGGTGGAGGCAAACCATATGCACTCCAGCTGCTGGGACAACCTGTCATTTTTCACTGTATGAATGAATAACTGACATTGTGCTAGGACATTCAAAAGGTACGGCTCAAAGGATGCTCTCAAACAGGCTTATATGCTGCTTACAAACACCTCCCAAAAGCTGTCTTAGGTAGGTAAGCTTCCCTTTCTGTGTACAGCACAGGAACTAAGAAGAAAAGAGGTTCATTCCACCGTTTTTAAAAACACATTTAAAATTGAGCAACTGAATTACCTAACTGATTTCCACAGATGGAGTCAAATTAGATAGTATCACTGGGAGCTGTTACATTTTAGGTCTTTGGAAAATTACATTATTTCTATTGTAGAGCTTAACTACAGTTCTAATTGCCTAATTTTAAGCACTCAAAGGAACATTCAGTATGTTTTTAACTGTTCATTCTTATCTACAACTAAACTTCAATAATGCTTCAGCTACTTCATAAATATAAACTAGAATGTTTACTTGCATTTTGCAAAAAATAACACAGAAAAGGAAACTAAATTACATGGATCAAATGCATGAAAAGGTACATTCTGCGTAGGAGTTCACTTTTGTTTCTTGCTCATGATTTCCAAAGTTCAGTTAACTGCAAAGGTTTCCCCAGCTGCTCTTACTGCTAAGCTGTATTACCGATGTGACTGTCCTCCTTCCCTCTCTCCTTTGCGTGTTATTATTGAAATGAAAAGTTATACAAAAAACCTAGCTCTGCTGAAAATTAGTTTTAGGAAATATGTATACCAGAAAGTTGTCTTTGCTAAGTGGCTGTCTGTCCTCTTCCTGCCTTCTGTGACACACAGCAAGGTCAAATTGTACTGAAGACCTTGGATTTCCATCTGCCAAGAATTTCTCCCTGTTTAGTACTTCATGGGCAGACACCCCACTGTTATCAAATCTATCACTTGCTGGATCACTACTGTAGCTCACTTCTTGGAGGTCACAGTGAGGTCTGAAGACACCCAACATCATCCTGAACAACTCAGCATGTGACTTAGGGTGATGAGGGGCCCAGAACAAGAAGGGTGTTGGGCTCCTCGTATCAACTCTGTTGACCCTCGTGCTGTAAAGTGGAAATAAAAATCCACCCAGGCAGCTGAATAGTTCATCTGCAAAAGGGACTGAAATTGCCTTCATATGGTCACAGGGAAGAGCATAAGAAAAACAAGTGCCAGGAAATAGGGATGAAGTCACAGAAAACATAACTGGTTCACAGTAAGTGATGAAGTCACAGTAAATAACTGCTCTACTATTGTGTTGCATTTCTTATCTGCAAAAGAAGTTAAAGTTCAATAATTTCAAGGGAAAGTATATGCAGGGTTTAATCGTTTGCTCTCTTTCATAGCTTGAAGGAGAAAGTGTTCCGTTTTCCTTTCTTGAGGGCTACAACTACCCTCCTCCCCCCAGAGATAGGCAATGAAAGCAGTGACAATGGAAACACCAAAAGGGTGTACATATGAAAATATTTTGTAAACACAACACTGCATGCAGTACAGAGGAACATTTATCACATGCTTGACTGAACAGTCACACAAAACCTTGAAACACCAACAAACCAAATAACAAATGGAAAAAGTTCAGGACAAATTACTGTCATTAACACTTAAGGTCTAATTTGAACCTTTTTATACATGAAGGAAGTAAAATGTAAGTGCCACAGAAAATATGACACTGAGATTAATCCAGATATCAGTACATCATAGTCATGCCAATTCTAGCAGTGAACCATGTACGCATACACACACATGCACACATGCTCTGAGCACATCTGGGGTGGCTGTCATAGATTTAATTTAAAAATATTAGCAATAATTTTTTAGAGTACAGGTGTTTTCGTTGCAGTCTTAGGACATATGCTCCAATCTTCAAGTTTAAAACCATATATATACTTATATATATACACACACACTCTCATACCTTTTTTAAAAAATACATATACACACATTCACACGTGCAGCCACATATGCGTGCACACACACATACACACACACATACACACACAAAGAGAGAGAGAGTATGTACCTATATCTGGATATATCCCTGACATTACTATGGATGTCATAAAAGCATGGAATGATTTTACAGACAAGTTGCAACATAGAGCCATAATGAGTTTCTGAATCGCCAATACTCACAAATAAAAGAGGGCCTGATCATCAGCACGTGCTGGAGAAGATCTAGAATGTGAAGCATACGATGCAGCATCTTTTTACAATGGTGTTAACAAATGTCAACATCTCATGCTGAATGCGAGAGGCATACTTATGTAGTTAAAAGTGTAAGCTGCTTTTTTTTCTTTCTTTCTCCTTTTTCTTCTTTTTTTTTCCCGTTCCACCTCCGCTTCATCTACACCTCCCCCAGAAAGCATCTGTTTTTTATTATTGTCTATAGCAGTGATTATTAACAAGCATGGAAAATGGAATTGCAATCTATCTTTTATTTCTTAATCACAAATTCATCCCCACACTTTAGGCAGGTGAAGTCTGATTCAGCTCTAATTGTCTGACAGATGTTACAAGCAGCTGCTGCTGAGCACAAAACCCTGGCTATTATTACAGAACTGTAAGAGCTCCTGGCAAGATGGAGTGAGAAGTGAAACAGAATGCATTCTGGTTAAGGCCACACATCTGGTTTTTCACACACAAAGGGGAAAAAAATTAAATACCTAAGTCTGAAACTCAGATTGCTGTTTCTTGAATTATTCAAAATCAAATTGCCTTTAATAAAATAAAACAAAGCCTTTGTGTGGCAAGTAAGAACAGCTTTATGTTTTCTCAGCAAATAATGTTTGCCACTGAAACACAGCTTTGAAATTAAAATACTTCTGCTTAATTACTTTTTGGGGGCACCCTGCTACCCAAAAAAAGCTCAGTCTGAAAGTTAAGATGCCAACTTTGCAGCCCTGTATGGATAAAGAGGAATGATATCAAGATGGCCAGACGTGAGTGCTTGTGCACCCTTGTTTCCCGAGGAAGACACCAAAGAGATTAAACTTGCTTATTTGAAATGCTGGTCCTTAAATGACAAATCCTGCATGGTGGTGCACCACATTAGCTCTGAAATGACATCTATATAGCTGTGTATCCCTCTCAGGAAACAGGAAGAACTATCATGAGGAAACAGGAAGAACTATCGTGAGATAATGCTCCACATCTCCAAATTTCTGATCTGGGACATTACCCACATGTTTGTATCATAATATTTTTCCGGGATCCTGTACTGCTCCTGAAAGTACAAATTACAGAAAAGTTTAATTATGCTGAATAGTTTTGTATCAAACCTATGTAGGCCCAAAAATACTGTCCTTATTCTTGCAAGACTCCTTTAGAAGCTACCAAAGGATTTGGTCTCCCAGTTCTTTGAAGTGCAGAAGCCGGCTTCACTTTAAACCCTTATCATGGGAATGCATCGAGGAACATAAATATAAAATTGTCCTGGTTTCGGCTGGGATAGAATTACATTTCTTCCTAGTGCTGTGTTTTGGATTTAGTACAAGAATGTTGATAACACACTGACGTTTTTAGTTGTTGCTAAGTACCGTGCTAGTCAAGGACTTTTTCAGCTTCCCGTGCACAAGAGGCTGGGAGGGAGCATAGCTGGGACAGCTGGCAAACAGGGTATTCCATATCATGTATCGTCATGCTCAGTATATGAATGGTAGGCGTGTCCAGGAAGTTAGCGATCGCTGTTTTTTTTGGGGGGCATTGCTCAGCAAGTACACTCATTTTGTATGTTCTATCATTACTATTATTATTTTCCCTTCCTTTTCTTTTCTATTAAACCATGAGTTTTCTCACTCTTACCCTTCCAATTCTCTCCCTGTCCCACTGGGGCGGGGGGGTGAGCGAGCTGCTGTGTGGTGTTTGGCTGCCTGCTGGGTTAAACCACGACAAAAATGAAAGACAAAAGTCTTAAGTAAGAATGTGAATAGCAACTGCCCCTTTTCTGTGAGATCCTTCGGAAAGGGGATGCACTTTTCTTTGGAAAATCTGAACATTCACATCTAAGACAAGATTTTGGTATTTCTATCATATTCTGCAAAAGACTAGGACTACAAAACAAAACTTAATAGTCTAATAGTGTAAAATGCAGCAGCTATAAAAAGATAAGCACAAATAATGAACACATATGTGTTTGATCATGTAACTCCAGCACTAATTAAAGACTCCTCACAGAGGAATGGTGCTGTAGCATTTGTGTATCTAAGCAGACGTACACACACATGCATGCACGCATACCAACCGATTTCAGTTGTGGCAGTCGGAATTGTAATACAGTTTGAAAGCCTACAGTAACAATCAATGTCACATTTTATCAACACTGATTTGCTCATATTCATGACAGAACTGACAATAATATAATTCAATATATGAGCATATCCCATTATCTAAACAAGCTTGCATTAACTCATAATCCTAAACGCATGACAGCTATGAGGCAGACAATTAAACCTACCACCCACAGCTAAGATACTTTGCCTACCTCTTCCCAAAATGCCAGGTGTCTTCAAAACTAGAATACTTCTGGGGAAGAATGGAACGCCCTGCAGTCCATTCTGAACTGACAGAAACCACACAGTTACCTGCAACTGCACTGGGACTGAACTGATCCCTTTCAAGGCCACTCCCTTAAATAAGTAAAGGTTTCTATTACTAACAGCTCCATTAATCCCATTTGCAGATCTGATCCAATCCATGTTACCATGGGTTTGAGAAAAACAGCTACTAGATTTTTGGAGCTGTAAACCCAGCACTGGTGTGTCTAGAGCACTGTCCACAGGCTTAGGAATAACCTCATTTCTAGATGGTGCATGTGGGCAAAGTTAACTCCACAACCACGACAGCTAGAAAGAACTGTACTCTAAGGGCAAGTTAAAATTCTGTAAATTGAGTGAACCTGAGATGAACAAACCTTCTCACCAAGCAAGAGGATTTTTCAAAACTTGTATTAATTACTGCAAGTAAAGTAGTATTGCCAAGAGCAGGTATTTATGCACTAAAGGAACAGTTCCTTCACATGTACTAATAAAAACTTGGAAGTGACTTCACAAAACAGACTGTTTCTGCTGATTGTCACAGATGTACTGAAAATGTTTTAAGTATTACTTTTCTGCATTAACATCATGTGTCATACTTTCTGTCTGGCAGTAAAAACCAAAATAGATTACAAAGATCTCCATCAAATGAAATCACTTGTGCAATGGCCAGGACAGTCCACCTTTGAGAAAAACAAACACCTTGAAGAAATCCTTACTTTATTTAGGAGAGTCAGAATATGAAAGCAAAACTCTGACTAATCCCATTCCTTCAATAAAACCAGGCAGGGCAGTAATGATGATGATGATTACTAATGACAGTGATAACTTTTCTAAGAACACCCAAAGCCTCTCACACAAGTGATTTTATCTTTCAAATCCATGAAACTGTGATCTGAAGGTGAATTATCCATCTGAAGCTAAAACTTACAGGTAAATTCATGTTGTAAAAACAAACAAAATTTTCATTTAGAATACTTGCATAAATAACCAAACGTTGATTATTAGCCTCCTCCTACCACAACTCATTATCTAGCTTTACCTACTTTATATCTGGTCCAATGAGCGAATGCCTCCTTAGCATAGCCCGAGCTTGTGCATTGGTTAAGTTTGTGGTTGACTCTTCATTAATCGACAGGATGCAGTCCCCCACACCAATCCGTCCATCACGACTTATCGAGCCTCCATGGATGACACTGCGGACTATCATTCCTGAGCCATCTTTATTGGAACTTACTGTCATCCCTATAGTGAAGAACACATGGAACAGTTAATAACATCTTTGAGCCCCAGCTCTGAGTGCCAAGAGAAAGAAATGTAAGCTGGGACAGGGAAGGTAAGAGCCAGCCAGCCAACCCGCCAATGTCAGCAAGCCTATAAACATTGCTCTTATTCTCCCGAATTTCCTTCTTTCCAACAGGAGACAGCAGTTACAAATCACAACCACAGTATCTTTACTTTACCTTGTGTGATTTCACATACCAGGCTCAATATAAAAAAACTAAGTTGAAAATTTAAGCAGAAAATAAACAAAAAAGCTAATGAAATTGCTTCTAAAACAGTCCAATTTACCACTCTTCTGGATGGTTCATTAAGTTTATACACCACATTTCAGTTGAGTTTACAATGGTTCTCTTTGGAAAGGAAGTTAAATGATTAAACAGTTAATTAGCACAGTGCCAGTACATCCACGCACTTATTTTCAACAGAAAGCCTAAATCAGATCCCACTGAGATAGTGGCTGCCTCCTCGCTTTCCTAGCTGGGCCATCACTTAGGCCCAGAAGAGCATCCTGACTTCTGTGAGAACCCACACGCTACTGATGGATACAGTCCACTTGAGTTACACCATGATCCCTCCTGTGGCACAGCAGGACACTATTTCTCAGTGTTTATACACACCATTTAACTCCACTTTCTTTTCACTAATGGGAAATGAGAGAGAGATGCTCTTTCCCCTCCTCCCCGTGGGGACTTACTTGTGGTGCTGGGCTTCACCTGTCTTTGTGACTGTTCTTACATGCATGGGTTGTCACTGTTATTTTCAGGGCTGTTGATGGTCATGAAATCAACCCTGATGACAGTTCCAGAAAAAACTGTTCTTCACTAAGGCAATGGAAAGGTAGCTGAAGGGCCAGCACTCTGGAAGTCCACCCACTGGACTCCCACTATCTTAATACTGCCAAACTCATTTTCATTCTTTTTTGTGCACTAATATGGAAGCTTTCCTTTACTAACAAGATGAAGCCAGTGAAGTAAGAGTACCTTACAGAGGAATATCTCTTGGAGAAGGAGACTACCCCACTACGTGTTCTCCTGGTTTTGCATGTAAACATCAGGCTAGCAAGCGCTAGGAGTGCAGTTGTGTGCCTGCAAGCCCTTACCTTATTGTCCAGACTGTGAGTGGAAAGAAGATGATAGCTACCCAAAGCAAAACCTCCAAGGATACTATGAAAAAATTCTAACCATTATATACAAACATGGCTACAGAAGACAGAGACTGAACACTTTACTCTGACCTTAGGCCTTGGGAGACAGACCGGCTGAACAGAGTTTAGAAGGCAGCTATAAGCCCCAGGATACTCAGAGTCAGCCAACCATACAAACATCTGCCTATACATCTGTCCCAGAGAAAAAAATAGAATAGTGTAAACATTTAAAGAATAACACTAATCTGGATATTCATTTGTGTTTCTTAGAACTCCTTCCAGAAATAAAAATCTCTTAATAGTGTTAGCTCTTCACACCCACTTGTAGTAGAGATCAACATAGCTGTCTAAAGTATAAGAAGGTGGCCCTGACTAGCAAGAAACTACCCAATAAGTTTATTAGACACAGGAATACACGTACCTCTCAACTTTGGTATGCGGAACACAGGTTACTCAGTCAGATCTGAATGTAAACACAACTCTGCAACAGAGTGGTCTCCACCAGCATACAGGCAGTGTGCACAGAAAAGCAAACTGCCAAGGAAACAGCTGAAATGTGGTTTGAAATTCTGAACCTAACTTTGCTGCTTGGTTAAGCCAGTAACAATCAACAGTATTACTGAGGCTAGTGTAATAGCACTTTAGAAAGACATCACCCCCAGTTTCTGTGCTGACATCCTCATTACAACAGCTCTGCAAGGCTGATGTCACACTCTGGACAGCTACAATTTCAGGTTAAAAATGCAAATGCCACTGTTAAGTTGCCAAATGAGTCACACAGGACAACGGCATTTCAGCTTTTCTTGCATGTGGGTGCTCCGTCCACTCACCTTTTAAAAATCACAATCAAAAGGTTAGAGCTCCAGCTGTGGCTGGATTTGAAGAGCTGTTGCAAGGTACGGTTGACACCATTTAAAAGGAAAAAAGAAGTGCCAGTTCTCAATCTAAATTGATGCAGCTGCAGCTTTCAACATCATTCACAGCTCTTGATTTAGCTCCTTTTGTAAAAATGAAAGTTAAAAGCAATGCAGACATGAGTGTAAATTGGTCACTGTGCCAGGCTGCTTCCCAGGCCAGAGCACATACAGACTGGAAGAAAAAGACTACAGTCAAAAGCCAGGAGAAAGCATTATTCACATTCATACTATGTATACAAGAGAGGCCAGTCTTGCTTTTCATGCATGTCATGTCTGCCAGTGTGCACCCTGCCCCAGGTTTGTATTTTATGCTGTATTATGCTTGACATGAAATTTGCTTTGTATGTTCACTGCTCTTAAAATACTAATAGACATACATGAAAAACACTGCTCCACTGAGTCAGGAGGTTATTGCAAACAAAATTTTTTTAAGAAAATCCAAATGCTTGGAACTGCACTGTGACCTGCACTTTATACAGCCTGGCAATGAGGCCAGTAAAGGCAGTAGTTACCCAAGCACCTCATACCAATGAAAGTCAAAACTTATACCCACATCAGCCTTGCCTGCAGCTTTATAGTTTGGGGAAGCTGATTTTAAACCCGATCAGCTCCCGATCCAGTTTGGAGGCTGGCTATATCACGAAGGAGAAGGTAATATGGGGCAGACTGAGCATCCAGAGGGCATTTTATTCCAGGTGGAAGCACTCACTGAATTACAGCATCACAGCACTTGACCCACCTCTGCACAGCAAGGGAGTCCTGAGTGGTGGCTGTTTATGAACAAGGGGCCCATGGGCTGCTTTCTGGGTGCTTTGTGCAGACAACCTATCTTAAAGCATTTGCAGAGTCACTGCAAACAGCCAACGCCCGCACAAATTCCTGCCCTACCAACACCAGAGAGTCTTCAAGGACATGCAGCTGGCTAGAAGAAACGGCACCAGGAACCTAAACCAAACCAAATGAACACACCAGCCACAAACGGAGGGGAACACACACCGCCTTCCACTACAAAGCCTCCCCTGCACCAGCTCTGGGAACTGGCCTGTGAGGATGCTATCCCTGTGCTCCCCCTCACACTGCCCAGAGCTGCACCAGGGACCAGGGGAGGATACTGAAAAACGTTTCCATCTGTTGTGCCTGTTCGCTCCAAGATGTGCCTCCAGCCAGTATGCTCAGGAACTCGCAGATTGCAGATATTTAAAACTCTTAAATTCTCTACAAAATGATAGTATCATTGAGCTAAGAGCACTACCTGTCAAATGTATCAATGATCTGATTTTCAGAAATACCGAGGCACTTAAGATACAAGTACAAATATGTAGCAAGGAAGCGAACAGCTTGTTTAGACCCTTTTGACCATCCTCAGAAAGCAAGTTCATTTTGTGTCTACATACATCTGAAAGTCTAGTCTGCAGCTCTTTGACCAAAGTGTTCTTCTACAGCATTCCTTGGCTGTATCTCATTTTTCCAGTATATTATATAAATGTATAGACATTAAAAAACAACATATTAAAATTGTTCTGTTAACATTTAGGAATGACTAAACCCCTTTACAGGGAAAAAAAAATTCTCAGTGAGACTGGACACTTTACTTTTGTGTTTGCGATGACAGCAAATGGATCCACTGCCATCATACCCAAACAGTACAAGCAGCAAAGAATGAATATCATGTTATGCTTTCCCCACTAAAAGGAAAATGTTTAGTCCTTACTAATAAAGCAGGAAACATATGAGAAAAACAGAAAGCCATGTTCCTGAACAGGTTACAAAAAATGTTAGCTACCTTACCTAGACTTGAATTGCCTCTTGCAATAGTGATAGTCTTCTCATACATGTTTTTCACTGTTGTGGAACTTCCCTCCAAAGATACTGGGCATCTCTTGTCCATTAAAAGCACTTGATCCTAACACAAGGGAAAATAACATGAGTTCAGAATACGGAGATAAAAATACAATTGGACATATTGACCTCAACCCATCTTACCTTACACAAAAGCTAGGCACATAATTAATACAGATTCCTTATACCGACATTGGAAAAGTCAGTCCATCAAAGATCAACCGACATAAGTGAGGTTTCTGTTTTCTTTCAGGTAATGTAGCAAATCTACCCCAAAGTATGCTTTTAATTTAGGGACATCAGTTACACTCTTAAAATTAGTGGGATGAATTCAAGGGCTCTCAGATTTGTTCACCACAGATGTCTGAGAATCTGCCAGTGCTAAAGTAACAAATCTTGTATGAAATTGCAGCTCTTTTAAGAATTTCTTAATAAATCACTGAATGGAAGAAAAAAGAAACACATGTTACAGTGACTGTCGTATAAAGGAATATTATGTTTGCATACTGTGGCATCACAGGCAAGTTTGTGAGCTGAACTGCACAGGAATGTGCGAACACCAGGATGCAAGTCTTTCACACCACTCCCTCTTGGCTTCCCAGGCCTAGTTTCCAGCTGTGCACCTCCTCCTTGCACCCATGCCTCTGCAGAGGTTAACAGGGCATAAGAAAAGCCCCCTCGCCTGCCCAGCAGGTACACGGTGGTCCAGCAGTGTCTACTGCTGTGAGGTATGAGCAGACTTTTTTATACCCCTGTATCGCCAGACTCTGGGAGATGACTATCTTGATGCCATAAATTATCTCCTGTTTTGGATAGGTCTAAATCCGTAAGTTTTGATGTGAGCTACCACATCAAACAACTATGCATGGCTGTTGGCCGGTGTCAATTTCTTTAGGACATTCTATGGTTTAATATGGCCTTTCTGTAGGTTTTTTTAATTATCATTTAAAAAAAAAAAAAAAAATCTTTACTTTTCCAGTGGGATCAAGCTGCATGGTAGTAGCGATTTCTGCTGTGGTCTGAGATCCAGTCCATATTACTGTGTTTTCACTTTCGTTTTGGTTGATATCCGAAACATCCAGTGGCGGAAGATCCTTTTTAGTAAAACCAGTTGCAGCTTCCAGGCTATTGCCCACTACGGACTTTTGCTCTCTCACTCTCTGATTCAGATCCATGTTGCACAGGTTCTTGTCAGATACAGGGAAATCAGCTGCAGCATTTGAACATTCCTCTCCAACAGACTGTTAACAATGAACAATCAACACTCTTTTGCAGTATAATTAAAAAGTACATTTCATGCTAAAATCTCAAACAGAAACTAATCTCACAGAATTTAAACATATTTTGTTGTAACATCAGTGTCTTCAGTAGATCCCTAGAGGCATCTTACTATAAAATTTACTTGATTCCTCAGACAATTTCTGCTGGTTTAAAATACCAGAAATCAATGAAAATAAAGGTACTGTTGAAGGCCAAATTCTAATTTGGTACTCATAATAAATCTCCACTAACTTCAGCAAAGTAACATCCACTCACACATTCTCAAACTAGACATAACTCCAGCAAGTTATTAAAATAAAAAAATCCAATTGTCTTTCTTTTCTTTGGAAGATCAAGGTCTTTACTTTCAAAACACTTAGCAAGCAAAGAACAATTTCAAGCAGCTCAGACAATAAGCATGCAATCTAATCATCCACTTAACTGAGTAGAAACATACTTAGATATGCCTTCCACACGAAGAGGGAAAAGTAAAAACTCGGTCAAATCTCAGCAAAAAACAAACATGGAGGTTTTGAACTGTGACCACAATGAAATACAATGACGCAATTACAGAAGCTTAGCAGTTAATACTTATTGCAAGTGTATCGATTATGGCTGCAGTACTAGGATTAAGTTCTCTACACAAAATTTGTTCAGACTTTCAAGATTCCAAGGTCCTGCATTTCAAATATTTTAAGGGATTTCAATAATCACAACCTTCTGAAAAAAAAATCTTCAAATATTCTCTAGCTTAGCTTTCAAAATAAGTATTTTTTAAAAAAATGTAGGCTATTAGAAAGATATATCAAGGACTTAGAGGTTGGACTTAGAGGCTCTATATCAATTAGGGATTTTTCTCTGACATGTAGTAAAGGTAGTCACAAGAACATCTACTTCTATCTGTCTTAGTTGTTATCCACTGGTCCTACTAATTCTTCTATTTCTTTTCCAAAAAGTGGGGAAAACACGTTTCCCAGGATTTTGGGATATTTTGCAACATTTTGTATCAAGGGCCTTAGAATTAGTTTTTCTCATCTTTCATGAAGTGCATACATGCTTGCTCTGTCCCGAAACAATCATAAAAAAAGTTTCACCCGTAAATAATTGGTTTAAGTAACATCTGAGAAGATAATTGAGCAAGGCTTAAATAAAACTAATCTGCATGATATAATCAATGAAATAATTTCCTACCTTTTGGAGAACAGAACACCAGGACTATAATCTATTTAAATTATTTCATTAGGTTTCAAAGAAAGCTGGGACATCTACTTTTAAGTTTGTTTTGTACTCGTTTCCAAATCAGAGAAAACAAGACCCAGCTCATACTCAACATTTATTCCATATTCCATATATAGATATCAGAGTTGCAGCATATGCCCATTTTTATTTTTGTTTCACTTAAAGAAAAGCCAATGCTGATTTCAGGAATTTGTAACTACAGCAACATGTGGCCTCATTAGAGCATTTGCATTACGTTAAGTAGTTTTTTTCATCACCTGTTTTAAAAGCGACACCAAAGGCATTCAGAATCTGTGAACTGCCCTGAAGCCAGAAATAGCTGAAACACCTCTAGCATTCCTCATAGCATCTAATAGCATTTTTTTTCCATTTCTACTGCATTTCACTTGCTTCAAAAGTCTTCTTTTAAGAACAGATTTTCTCGCTATGTTTACTTTGTGAAGTCACTCATAACTGCAGAGTACAAAATGTTACTTGATGAGAACTTAATACTCACTTCATACTGGTGCACAGAGAGGAACACTGAAAAATCAGGACCATAATTTAAAAAAAAATGTAAACTGAAGCCATCTTTAAGTCAATGCTGAAAATAACTTAAGACTTTCTAGAGCCTCAACGTGATATATAATGTAAATCCAGCCTCTATCTCATAAAATGCTTCTCAGCATGCAAAATGCATAATCCGTTTAAGTAACAATTACAGAGTTACACAATGCAATCTGTCCCACTGGCACAGCAGAGATGTGCTCTTCTGTGGATTAGGAGAAATCATTAGAAGATGAATTTAGCTTTCCAATCAGTGCCTCGTAAGGGCTGAACGTATTCCAGAAGGGATAAAGGGAGTTACTGCAGCTCAGGTGTGGAGGAAAAAGCAGCAGCTACTCTATACAAGACCACAGACTGCAAACCCTGGAAGAAATCCCTACAATGTTGTTTTCAAAGACGACTGCTAGGAGAAATGCCTTGGAAGACTCCGGATTAGCGAAATAAATTTATAGATTACCAAGAAAAAGGAGCATGAAAACCATGGAGAGAAACAAAACATCAATTCTGATACAAACAATCAAGTCATTATGGGTCTGTGACCAGCAAGAAAAAAGATACTGATCTTTGTAACACTCTTAAAGAACTTATCTTCTATTTAAAGTCAGTAAATGAAATTATTAGTCATCAGAGGTTTGATGTATACAGATTTACTTTTAATTAGTGTCATTATGAACATTTCATTCAAGAACACAGTAAATGAATTAGTAAACATACTAACTATGAAGCACAAAAGCAAAGTTTAGGATGAAAACTTACTCTTGCTTTTCATACCTAAAATAATACTGTAGAATAACGCAGTTATTTTGCGTTACCACTCTCTACTATGCTCTGAAGTAATAACAATTAAGTTTTTGTAGCAGACTGCCCACCACAGCTTTAACACTACAAACATCTCACCATACTTTATCTGGCTATATAAAACACAAATCCAAGCTTTCAACTTTTCTTGCTGCCTCTCTCTTCAACACAGACATCTGAAAGACACCAGCACTACCCTAAACAAAACTGCACTTTAAGCTGGTAACAAATAGTGCCGTTTGAACCAGGATGACATAAAACATTTATATCTAATAATACAGCCTTTTCACACTTATAATCAAAGTTTGTCATCAATAAAACCATCCTCCTTTTTACCTTGGGAGTTGACAATGGAAGAGAGAAGCTGTAGTTCAGCTCACCGCTACAGGCACTGCCATGCAGAGCTATCACTGAAGCCTGGAAGACGTCACTCTCTAGCGAATACTGCGATTCAAAGGTGGACTCATCCACTGGATCTGCCTCGCCGGAGTCCACCTAACAACAGAAGCAATTCAATCAGCCAGGCTATCTGTTACCTTCACACCACTTAAGCCCCGAACACACGCACCTCAGCTGCTACATACTGACTGATACTTCACTAAATTCTTTTTTTTTCCCCCTCCATGTTTTACATTGAAGTTATATTTGCACAGCACAGTAGGAAAAATTTCTGCTTCCAGTTACAATTCATGTTACTACACCTTCAGAGGTTGCAAGGAGTATCTGAAATAAAGTGAGAGTCTCAACTGGAATGAGTTGCAGGGCTGAGGCAGGCTGATGCCTTTAATAGAAGTATGCGGTGCTGGGAGAATTCTGCTGTACTCCCTGGTGTCAAAATTTTGATTTGTTTAGGGCTTTTTTTTCTCTTTTTAATTTTCTTTTATAAGAATTAGCACTGAAAAAAATAATAAGCTTCACTTAGTGCCACCTATCAGCAATGTTCCCTCTACCCATCTTTGTAGGTTTGTTTTTTTTTTAAAAGGGTACAAAAAATAATCTTCTGGAAACTGCAATGCTTTCCAATATATTTACAAGCAACATTTATGATTTTTTTATTATTTCCAAAATATTTTACATTTGACAAGCTTAATATGGACAATTCTCCTGTCTTACAGGAGAAATAAAATTTTAAAAAGAGTTCTAGACATGGACATGGGCAGCATTTTTTGCCTTTTTTTTCTTAAATGAAATAAAATTTTTTTCAAGACTCATATACTTTCAAATACTAGAATAAAATTAAGTCCTAAAAGACTTAATTTATGGTGCTTCACATACCACACTTTGATTACAATTTCTTCTCCCCAGCAGAGCTCAAGAAAGCAGTATATGCTAACAAAAATGATCACCGAGTTCAGAGCCATGACCGTACTGTAAACTTGTATGAAACAGCCAAGTGCACCCATCTGCAGAGATGGGATCTAGGTATTGTTTTTCAACCTCTGTGGTTAATCATACTATGAATTCATTATGTCAGATTTACAACAGCAATCGCAACAATCTGCAGTGATTCAACATATTGATTCCTTTTTGGGGTACAAATGATCCATTTTTCATTGTCTCAACCCTAAAGACTTAACAGCTAAACCAAACTGCTCCTTTGGTGTAACTTACTCTCAGCCCATCTTCTGGAAAATGCAGACTAGTGTTACCAAAGCTATGCCCTAAAAAAAGGATTGTGAAAAACGGGGACAGACGTGTAGAATCTGAGTGTAGACTTATCTATGAAAAACAGTATCTCATGAGTGCACTCTGCAAACACATCTTCAAGGGGGTGATTGTACATTCAATTTCATATTTTGCACATTTAATTAGACAGTTGTCAGAGTTCACAATTTAACCATATTATCTGCAATATATTTTCACTGTTCTTTCACAATTACAATTTTTTCGTATGAATCACACATAGAAGTCAAATTTTTAAATACTTAAGTTTTAATCTGATCTTTTCAACACATCTTTAATTAAAGGACATTTACAATGTATAATCTGGCTTCTTCATACTTCTTCTCAATGAACAGAATATTATCCTATTATCCTATTATCTAACTACTGTACCAAGGCAACAAACTGCAGGAGAAAAAACAGGCAGTCTTGTTTAAAAGGAAGTTATTACAACCAGCTTGTCATCTGCAAATGTGAAAAAATAGCAAACATACTGGAATCAGTAATTCAGAGATTTTTGCCTTGGAAAAATCCATTTCAGGTTTTTGTTTGGTTTTGTTTTTTTCCTAATGAATTAAGTTCTGGTGTTTAGTAGAAACTGCTTCCCTATTCATGTCCCCAGAAAATGAGGGCCAAATAGCTTCAGTATCAGGCCCAGATCAGTACAAATAACCATTAGAAGACACACTTGGAATATATTTATATTCTGGTTTTGGAGGGGTTTTTTTGTTTTTTGTATAGTCCTATTTTGTCTTTTTTATCTGAGTTCTTATTGCTAACTTCTGGACTATGTAAGGCATTGAATGCTCAGGTGCGCCGCATTGTTTGTACAAGTGAACACCTTTTGACCTTGCAAATCTCATAATCGCTGATTGATGGTGAAGTCTAAAGAATACTATTAGGAGGAAGTGTTGGCAGCTTTTGAAGACAGACAGCATTCCTTTTAAGGCTGGCTTACACACAAAAAAAGAGTTCCAAAAATTTTTCAAGATAGAGAAGTGATGTATTATGATATACAGGCGAAGAGATTTATTTACAAAATAAGCACATGAACATTTCCCTA